ACCAATATGCGCACCTCTTAACTTAAACTTTAACCACTACTCTGGGGAATAAAAGTTATACATGACATAGAAATTATTAGAAACACAGGCAACACTAAATTTAAAGTATTAAGAAATGTTAATTGCACATATGAACAGGCCTTAAGGTTTTCCCAAAATAATATCAGTCACTGAGGAATGGTGTTAACTACACCCGTAATAAGGAAGATAAAATGTTCCTCTAGGTATCTCCTAGAATCCTAGACTCACGGTCTCAGTGTGTGACCATTAATATACTCAGATAGCCTCAGTGTACTCCCAGTGCGTCCATGGGCAGGAAGAGAGTGAGCCAATCAGACCTTGTGCAGTTGAGAGGAGCTTTAGCTTCCCGTTAGCAAGAGGGTTTCACTAAGCGGCTCGGGACATGTGGTGTTGTGAGCCGACGTCAGCTGGGCACCCAGACGGCTAGATTCCCTCAAGAGATCCTTTGGTACCCCGCTAAACAGTGACAGGCCTACTCTGATCGGTCCAATGGCGACAATCGCCACCCTCAATCATCAACGGCAGTCTCAAACGGCAGTCAATCTCTCGCAGTCAAACTCCGGTCAACTCCAATCAAGTGGGTTCTGACGGAAACCTTGTTATACTGCAATAGCGCAGCACAGGTGACTAGGCCACGTGACTATTTCTGATGGACGCGCGGAACGTCTTGTCTGTGTGACTGCTCTCCGGGACTGGCTAGCCAGCGTCGTGTCTCCCCAAGGCGCTAGCTTGGGCCTACGTGATATATTTACCGCCTAACTAATAACTCCTTGGGACACCCGTAACATTATTCAGACTGCTAAACGATCTATAATAATTTCAAATTCAATAATAGTCCCTTAACTTCATGAATCGCATCATTATTAATTCGGTAAATTACATTTAATATCATATAGGCCTAGTTCCGCAGTCTCTCGCTATGAGCAGGCAGCGCTCCCTCCCCTCAGATGACCTTGAACGCTCAGTATCACTCATGGCGGGGCATTTGAAATTACTCTGAAATTTCTGGATATTACATATATATATATATATATAACTCCATATTTTAAAAAGGTGGGAAGTTGAATGGGTTTTTTTTATAAATATTGTGCATTAAGAGCAAAATCCTCGGAGGTGGTTTGGTACGTGACCTTGATGTCTATCATTTGATAATATTGTGCCTTGATGGAGTCGATCATCCTACCAAGAAAATGTGGAGAAACTAGGACAGATGGAAAGACAGACAGCAAGGAAGAGATAATGAGACAGAAGCAGTGAGATTAGACGGGGATACAGATGGGCAGGAAGATAGACAGAAAGTCAGACTAATAAAAATACCCAGAGAAAGAGAGAAGGGGGTGCAAAAAATAAATAAATAATTACAGAGAATAAGGTAAAAACAAAAAATGCCCCAGAGAAATTGTGGCTTTATTTAGAAATTCATTACCTGAGTTGTTCCACAGGTGGCGAGCCTGATTGACCCCTAAAACAGGTGGGTCACGCGAGGCCACACACCCGGTCATCTTGGGTCACGCGAAGCCACGGTACTGCTGGTCAGTCTGTGTGTGTGTATGTGTGTGATGCCATTCTTGTGACCTTCATAGGTATTGAGGGAATTATTCTCTCTCTCTCTCTCTCTCTCGTACTTGTATATTAACTTGTTTAATATAACTTTATTTAACATAATATAGAACTAAACATATGCTGTAGAGATGCTGTCATTATTATATTATTATTTATACTACTACTACTACTACTACCACTACTACTACAAACTTATACTACTACTATTACTACTACTTCTACTACAACTATAAAGAAAACGATAAATTTATGGGTCTTGTCAGCTCTGGGTTTCATTATATGTTAATTAACTTTAGTTGGCCAACTGTACTAATTACTTTAATTAATCTGTAATTTGTTGAGTTAATTAACTCCGCCACTTGGGTTAGGTTAGGTTAAGTCAGTATCTCTGGATTGGGTTAGATTAGATTAGGTTAATATATTGATTGGGTTAGGTGAGATTAGGTTGAAGTTCTTAGGATTGGGTGGTGGTTTGTGTCAGACCTGCTCCACCACTGGCCGAGCCCGTATGAGGAGTGTTGTAGTCTCAGCTAACATTATGAACCTCTGTTTGTGTGGTTGCCAGCATAGAGCACTCACCCCTCGCCACCGTCACCCCTGGGCGTCAGTCAGTCACTCTGTCCGCCGGGATCTGGCAACACCCACTCATGTCACCTGCCATCACACATCTTATTTTACAAGTTCTGAAATATTTTATTCGTTAACATAAAAACCTGAACAAGTATTAATTTGGATAGACAGTATAGATACAGTAATTTTAATATAGTTATAGAATAGTAGAGTCGAGGATTAACGTAAATGTGAATAGAAATTAGCTTAAAATTACGTAATTCAACATGTCATACAAAATATTACACAGTCTTGGGCTTTTAAGGATAGCATAACGTCTTCTCATGTTGTTGTTGTTAGTGTTCATGGATAGTTGTGTTTGTTATGTGAGACTGAGATAATGTGATATGGATTTCTCCTCGTCTTTGCAATGCTCGGGCTTATGTGTTGCTGTCAAGGTAGCCTAGTGTTGTTAGTGCGTTACACCTGTACCCGAGTGCCCGCCGCCCTCCCCCGATGATACACACTTAGTTAGCTACATGTTAGAATACTTCCCGCACGCATTTATGGAGAGATACTGGTGTTTATTGTTACAGGGGGAGGGGGGGGGGTGCTTGTGTCCAGGAAAAACGGTGTTTGGTTGAGTGAGGGGATTAACGCGGTCCTTTTTTCTATGGTGAGACAAGTAGGTGCTGTATGTGAGGTCTGGGAAGGTAAGGTTAGTTACCTCAGCCGTAACTAAGGTTAATACTGTTAAGTTACGGTTATATTAGGTTAATTGTCTTAGGTTTTTTAATAATATGTCAGGTTAATGTTATTTCAGGTTAATATTAGGTTAGGTTAATGCTAGGTAAATATTTTATGTAGTTTTATCACCAAAATAACTTCTCAATCGACCCAACACAAAACATTGCTCGACACCTGCCGTCCCTCACACCTGCACTGGTTCCCGTTGGTGTCACTTACCGAAACAACAGGTATGCATCACTCAACTACATAATACTTCCTTGAGATAAATGTACAGTATATATCAGGTGCCTTCAAGAAAGCTCAGACTTTCAACTGGCTCATTCATGTTAATATTGTTATTATTTTCAACTCTATCTATATTTTCTGGCTAAATATACTGTACCAATATCAATATTATAGGTTGGAATAATTGTGCATCTCTTTAAGTGCTACTTTTACTTTTATCCTCTTCGCCACTGATCGGCTTGTTAGCCGCTTGGGCGATCGGTCACGACTCTTTTCCTTTATATTCTTCACCAAAAGGTCGGCTCGCTAGCCGCCCGGGCGATCGGTCACGTCTCTGTCACGCACTGTTGGCAAATACTGGGCATGCACCGGCTCCTGAATGTACCTGAACCCGCTCCAGTGTTGGTCAAGTCTTCTCTTGAAAGAGCTCACACTCGGTGCCGTCACAACACTTTCTGGTAGATTGTTCCAAGAGTTTACAACCCTCACTCCGAAAAAGTTTGCCCTCACGGTTTTCCGGACTTGCGGCTTCAATCTTGAGCTGTGACCCCTTGTGGGGCGAGCGTCCGCCAGCTCCAAGTAAGGACACAAGTGCTAAGTAAGGACAATGTTCCTCTTATATGTAACAAGATAAATAAAATGTATGATGGTACTGTATGCATTCTTGGATATGTTAATTAAAGATTACTAACCATCTTTTTAAAAATGACCCATTTTTTTTATTACTGTACAGTACTTTACTTTTATCCTCTTCACCCTGATCGGCTCGTTAGCCGCTTGGGCGATCGGTCACGTTTCTGTTACGCACTGTTGGCAAGTACTGGGCATGCACCGGCTCCTGAATGTACCTGAACCTGCTCCAGTATTGGTCAAGTCTGATCTTGAAAGAGCTCACACTCGGTGCCGTCACAACACTCTGGTAAATTGTTGCAAGAGTTCACAACTTTCACTCCGAAAAATTTGCCCTTGCAGTTTTCTGGACTTGCGGCTTCTTCAATCTTGAGCTGTGACCCCTTGTGGGGCGAGCGTCCGCCAGCTCCAAGTAAGGACACTCAACTGGGTAGTGGCCCTTGAGATGCTTATAAACCTCAATTAGGTCACCCCTTGCCCGTCTGTAATATAAGCTAGGCGCTCCAATCTCTCAGGGTAGCTGAGGTGCCGAAGTGCAGGCACCAGTCTGGTGGCCCTCCTTTGAACATTTTCAACCAACTGATAGTCCCTAGCATATCTCGGGGACCAGACGGGGTGACAGTACTCCAGATGGGGAAGCACTTCACTCTTGAAGATCGTTACAAGGAAGGGACCTCCGTTTTAGATATCTGAACAACCTTCTTATAAGACCCAATAATTTATTTACCTGATTTACCTTCTCGCAATGGCCCGAGAACTTCAGCTCATTGTCAACATACAGTACACACCTAGGTCCTTCTCACATTCAGTCTCAAATAGTGCAGTTTCTTCATCCCATTAGGACATTATGATACGCCTCCTTACCGTTGGTACGCTCCAGGTGCATCCTCTTACACTTCGCGACATTGAATCTCAGCAGCCATTTCTTCGATCATTCTTCTTTTTTTTATCCTCTTCACCACTGATTGGCTCGTGTTAATCTATTTTATATTTATTTAACAACCATAATATCTAATTATATTGGCAAGTTTTATCATATTTTCTGTCTAGACAGAAATTAGCAAGGTTTCATATTTATTTTCTGGTGAATCTGGCACTGACATTCATTGTTGTGCGTTGAGTTTTTAATCTTCGTAGCTGTAAGTTAAAGCATTATATTACCAATCAACATTTACACATTTTTAATATACAGTATATATATATAAATTGATATATTTTACCATAGTGAATAGTGTATAATGATAGTCAAACAAGTTATTGATATTTTGAGGTAAGACGAATGTACAACACAAAACCATAACAACATGATGGAACCTGCGGATTGGTGAACTACAACACCTTGAATTATTAATGATACCTCATTCTCCTTCAATTCGTTGATGATGAGATGATATATGTATTCCGTTATGTCATGACTTTCACTAGATTGACCTCCTTGTTACCAAAATTCAAAATTAAACAAGTAGTGAAGATCCTAACCTACGGCGACATGTCTGGGGCCTGGCAACAATGGTGCAATTATGCTTCCACAAGTTCTAGTCACAACAGGAGGTTCACACTTCAGGTTGCAGAGCTGTTTGGTAAGTACATGTTTCACTGTGTTGATTTAGGCGTGTCTTTAGCTTGTATTAAGATAAGGCTAATATGGAGGATTTCACAGCCGCTTACCCTCGTCTCGGTAACAGTAAGTTCGCCCACGGCAGGTGTTAAGATTATGCTAGGTTAATTAAGTAAAGGTTAGGTTCGTTTACTTTAAGATTAGGTTAACTTACCTTTAGCTTTTAAATTAACACTTTTCAAGGCATTTGTTTTAACTACAACAGTGTCCACTATAAAACAGTGAAATTGCGGCATTTTTAAATTTGTTTTCTATGAAAAATCAGCAGACTTCACAGCTTTAATTGATTTGAAATAGTAATACCATTAAACATTTAACACAGAATTTCAGGTGCTATTATAGTGTGTGGTCTACAAAATGGTTAGGTTAGGTCAGGTCAGATTAGGTAAAGTTTGGTTAGGTTAGGTCAGATTAAGTAGGGTTAGGTTAACTTAGGTCATGTAAGGTTAGGTTAGACTAAAGATATCTTGGTGCTACTATAGTATGCGGTCTACCACATGGGTGCTACTATACTGTAGTATGCTGTCTACTACATGGGTGCTACTATACTGTAGTATGCTGTCTACCACATGGGTGCTACTATACTGCAGTATGCTGTCTACCACATGGGTGCTACTATACTGTAGTATGCTGTCTACCACATGGGTGCTACTATACTGTAGTATGCTGTCTACCACATGGGTGCTACTATACTGTAGTATGCTGTCTACCACATGGGTGCTACTATACTGTAGTATGCTGTCTACCACATGGGTGCTACTATACTGCAGTATGCTGTCTAGTGTCTACTACATGGGTGCTACTATACTGTAGTATGCTGTCTACTACATGGGTGCTACTATACTGTAGTATGCTGTCTACCACATGGGTGCTACTATACTGTAGTATGCTGTCTACCACATGGGTGCTACTATACTGTAGTATGCTGTCTACCACATGGGTGCTACTATACTGTAGTATGCTGTCTACTACATGGGTGCTACTATACTGTAGTATGCTGTCTACCACATGGGTGCTACTATACTGTGCTGTCTAGTCACCACATGGGTGCTACTATACTGTAGTATGCTGTCTACTACATGGGTGCATTATGTAGTATGCTGTCTACCACATGGGTGCTACTATACTGCAGTATGCTGTCTACCACATGGGTGCTACTATACTGCAGTATGCTGTCTAGTGTCTACCACATGGGTGCTACTATACTGTAATATGCTGTCTACTACATGGGTGCTACTATACTGTATTATGCTGTCTACTACATGGGTGCTACTATACTGTAGTATGCTGTCTACTACATGGGTGCTACTATACTGTATTATGCTGTCTACTACATGGGTGCTACTATACTGTATTATGCTGTCTACTACATGGGTGCTACTATACTGTAGTATGCTGTCTACCACATGGGTGCTACTATACTGTAGTATGCTGTCTACCACATGGGTGCTTCTATACTGTAGTATGTTGTCTACCTAGCTGGAGTTGGTCTACCGGGATATTTACACTGAAGCATCCATTAACCTGACCTAGGTTATGTTAACTTAGGTTAGGTTAAAATATATTAGATTAAGTTAGGTTGGGTTAATAGATGCTACAGTGTAAATATCCCAGTAGACCAACTCCAGCTCTGTAGATCGCATTCTATAGTATCACCGAATTTCAAGTACAGTATTTAGGGAGATAAAATGGTGATAATTGTTCTTGCACACCTATTTGTTACTTATTGTGTATTGAAGAAAATTTCCTTAACTCACGAACACCACAAATTAAGTACAAGAATTGCAGTTTTAATATTTTTCTGGCTGAAAATATTTATGTCCATCTGATGCCATATTTGTGTTTAATGTTTTGTCATACAAACACTTATAGTGGCTGCTTTTTACTTTTATCCTCTTCACCACTGATCGATTCTTTAGCCGCTTGGGCGGTTGGTCACGTCTCTGTTACGCACTGTTGGCAAATACTGTCCATGTACTGGCTCCTGAATGTATCTGAACCTGTGCCAATGTTGGTCAAGTCTGGCCTTGAAAGAGCTCACAACAGTGCCTGACAGATTCCAAGAGTATACAATTCTCATTCCAAAAAGTTTGCCCTCACATTTTTCTGAACTTGTGGCTTCTTCAACCTTGAGCTGTGACCCCTTGTGGGGCGGGAGTCTGCCAACTCCAGGTATGGATACTGGACTAAGGTGTTTATAAATTTCAATTAGGTCACCTCTTACCTATCTATAGTATAAGGTAGGCAGTTGCAGGCATTCTGATCTCTGGGTAATTGAGGTGCCATAGTGCAGGCACCAGTCTGGTGGCCCTACTTTGGATATTTGCTATCAACTGACAGTCTCTACATTATATCGTTAATGCACGATGGCTTGCATCAACTTAACCTAATCTATTGTTGGTTAGGTTAGGCTTAGTTAAGTTAGGTAGGTTTTGTTGGTAAGGTTAGGTTAAGTTAGTTAGGTAGGTTTAGTTGGGTAGGTTAGGTTAAGTTAAGTTAGGTAAGGTAGGTTTTGTTGGTTAATTTTGTTTCAGGTAAATGATATACTGTAGCAGTCACTGTAAACATTCATGTGGAAACATTGCTGTGACAGTTTGTCATTGTAAAAAATGTTGACAACATTATATCAAGCGCCAAAATGGTCTCAGAAGGAAGTAGATTATATTCAGGAATAATTGTGATTTATTTGCAGTGTTGTTATGAGGAAAGAAAGAAGCTGCTGTTTGTAGATAATCAGTCAAAAACAATTGATTTAGTATTATCAAAATTTAGTTTTCGCTTGTGAATCTCATGTATGTTTCTTTGATGCAGTTTTAAGCAATGAAATCTCTCACATGAAGTTCTTTACACATGAATAACATGTTACAGTTTTTACAGTACAGTAAATGCTTTGGTTTGATGAAAAGAATAAAACATTACTGAACGAAGTCTGACTATAAGAGGAATGGACAATTGAATGATTGTACCAGTGCTAAGTGGTTCATTCCTGGTAAAATCAGTGAGAGTTTTCTTTTCAGTGTCAAAGTGTACATCAGTATTTGTGAGGAATCTTTCATTCCCCTCTTAACATGAGTAAATAAGTCCTTGTTTTATAAGATTTGTCAGTGATATATTATTTATGATAACAGATACTAAGGCTGAAGTGGATTTTGGAGTACAGTACAGTATTGTACTGTACATCATAATTTGTTTTGATTAATTTTACACTTTATTAAGGAAAAGCATTAGAACTTTACTACCTTTACATACAGTGCTTGGTAAAGATTAAAGTCAGACGTTACCTAATTTTCTGATATTTTTTTATGCAATTTTTATGGATAAGTTAGTTTTAACCAACAGAATGAAAATTTGGTGTGGAAGAAAAGAAAAACAGAAGACAAGGTTCACGAAGAAAATTTCTGATATGCACTAGGGCAGTTCCCCGAATTCTGTACACTTCCAGTTTAATTTTCAATCTTTCATGAGGTATGCTGTCAAAAGCCTTGGCAACATTCTCATATACAGTATACCTATGCACTTTCCTATAATCTCCACTCGCAGGGTTGCCGGTGTGTTATCCAGGTTGGATGTGAGTAAGGCGCATGGACTGGACGGAATACCCCCTCGTGTTCTGAGGGAGTGTGCTGAAGCCCTGGCCCCTGTGCTTGCTCGCCTCTTTCGCCTTTGCCTCAAAACCCAAACTTTTCCTTCTTCTTGGAAGCATGCCTTGGTTCAGCCCATCCTGAAGAAGGGTGACCATTCTAATCCCTAACTTCATCCCTCTCTTAAGATTTTCGAAACTATCTTGAACTCCCATTTTCTCCGTCACCTTGAACGCCTTTCTCTTTTGTCGGATCACCAGTATGGCTTTCGCCAGGCGAGATCTACTGGTGATCTGCTCTCCTATTGCACCCATCTTTGGTCATCCTCTCTTAGGGATTATGGGGAAACTTTTGTCGTGGCTCTCGACATCTCCAAAGCATTTGACAGGGTATGGCACAAGTCTTTGCCATCTAAACTGCCCTCTTTTGGTTTCTCTCCCCCACTTTGTTTTCTCATCTCTAGCTTCCTTGAGAACCGACCCATGGCAGTTGTTGTCAAGGGATCGATTTCTCGCTCTTTCTCTACCAGTAGTGGCGTCCCACAGGGTTGTGTTCTTTCACCAACTCTCTTCCTCCTTTTTATCAATGATTTACTTCACACTACAACTAATTATATCCATTCTTACGCTGATGATTCTACTCTTCAATCTTCCTCACATTTTCCCCTTCCTCCTAACTCTCAAACTAGATCTGTGTCTAGAACTGATATCATTACTTCTATCAACGTGGATCTGTGCAGCATCTCTGAATGGGGAGGTTAAGTTCAATAGTAATAAAACTCAATATTTACCAATTACACTTTGTAAATTAGACGATCTCCCACCAATTACATTTTAGGACGCTATCACCCTCCCAAATTCTGAAATAAATATGTTAGGCCTCACCATTTCCTCTAATATGTCCTGGAAATCACACATCCTTAGTATAACTAAAGTTGCCTCCCGAAAGTTGGGAATGCTGTACAGATGCCGCAGCTACTTCACTCCTGAGCAGTTGCTCCAAGTATATAAGGGATTCATTCGTCCTAACTTGGAGTACTGTTCTCATATCTGGGGTGGCTCTTCTTCTGTCCAACTATTATATAGGGTGGAATCAAGGGCATTTTGTCTTATTAACTCTCCTCCTTTAGTCGACAATCTCTCTTCCCTTTCTCTTCGCCGCAATGTTGCCTCACTCTCTCTTTTTTATAGGTACTTTAACGGGCAATGTTCGGTGGATTTGGCATCCTGTGTACAGCCGGCAAGGCCGTGGGTTCGTAACACATGTCTTGCCCGCGGTGCCCACCGTTTCTCTGTGGATGTCGGTCACATGAGAATAACCCGTTATAGTACCTCCATCTTTCCTCACACAGCCAAACTGTGGAATGCTCTGCCTTCTTCTGTGTGTCCATGCTCTTACAATCTGTCTCGCTTTAAAAAGCTGGTTTTCCAGCATCTTCGTGGTGTAAATTAATACAGTATAACCTTTTTTTTCTATATTTACAATTTCTTAACGTTTTTTTCGCCCCCCTGGCTCCGTTGTGGGTCGTTTGACCTGTGCCCGGTTGGGTTATTCTCGTAAAAAAAAAAAAAATATTGTCGATATTGCCACCACTCTCCAGGATCTGGATCCACACATCCAGCACCTTGTTGGCATTCCTTCACAAGGTGGTTTCATACTAGATGTTCCATCATGGCATATCGTATTATGCTCTTTAGTATCTAACACACTATGCTGATCAAGCTCACCGGCCTATGGTTATTTGTGGAGTGGTGATCTCCAGTTGCTGGGGATTTTTTGCTAGCCCATGCATCTCATTGCTCAAGAATATATCATTTTGAGTGTTGAGGCACATGTGTATATACTATTGGTGCACAAAAAAAAGTTATCATACAAAATAAAAAGTACTGTACAGCAGTTTAGTATAAATTTTGTGGGATTGACCAGTGGGTGTTGCCGTGGTCACAGTTAGGTCACTCATAACCACCCTGGCCCAAGCCAAATGTCCGAATCCGGGAAAAATAGTCACAAGATAAAAAGTCAGATAAAAAGGCACGGAAAAAACCTAACCTAACCTAACCTACGTGCAATGCCATCATATATATATTGTGTTGTCAATGTGTACAAGTCATGTGACTTTTTTTCCTGTGGACTTTATTTCCGTCCACCAAATGTCCGTGGCCCAAATCATACGTCCAAAAAGTAATATTAGATTGTGTGATGCAGGGTGGTAGGAAATTCCAGTCGTCAGCTGGTTTGCTAAATTGTGATGGTCTCCAGTTACCAAGTAAAACATAAGGATGCTTTAATTTTGTTTTATTTATTTAATTCATTTTAGGTAAAAAGTATACTAAGGTTTCAAATTCTCGTTATCTGCAGACTGGTGAGGTCAGGCACCGCTTTGTAACCTTGTAAACAAATGTTCGAATGTATTAACTCTACCTTGAAACGGTTATAGTGTCTGTATTTTTGTTATCAATGCACTTAATTAATTTTGAATTTAATTTTATATATTTTCTTTCATTTTAACCAATACTAAGAACGATTATAATATTTTATGACAATGATAACTATCTCCAATGTGTCAAACTGGCACGATTTCGGACGTCACAGTGCACCCCAAGCAATGTGTTGGTGCCATTGAAGTTTTCTTCATTATTTTCACTTATATATTAACTGAAATAGCTTTTGAATTAGTTTTTAATATTGTTGCATACGTTACAAAATTTTGTTAAATAAATATTATTGGTTATGTGTATTCGTGTATAATAAATGTTAGTATGTTAAAAGAACAAAGAACATAAGAATGCAGAAAACTGCAGCGAACCTATTGGCCCATACTGCGGGCAGTCCCATTTACACCCAAACCCTATTGCTCAAATGTCCATCCAACCTATGTTTGAAGCTATCCAGCGTATTCGAGTTAATGATAATATTTGGTAACTTGTTCCATTCATCCACTACTCTATTTCCAAACCAATGTTTACATTATTTCGCGCCTAAATCTAAATTTGTCTAATTTAAAACTATTGTTACGAGTTCGCTCCTGGTTGGATAATTTGAGTATCTTTGTACTTGTTATAGGAAAACTTAATGAATTATGTGATATACAGCATACTTTTGTTTTCTTGTGACGCTTATGTATTATCTTTGTTATTTAATAACTCGTATCGTCAGTTCCTGAAAGGGCACCTGGAGATCTTGCTCGCCGGAGACAGCGTGGGATTGGTGGGTTGTCTGGGTTGTGTAATCATCTCCTCTCTCCTGATTGGCTGATTTAAGTTTTGACTCGCACTGCTAGTCCCACAAGCAGCTCAATATTACCGCGAACTTTGTCTCCCAGAACAGGCTCTAGTACACAAACGTCTGACAAGAATTTCCCTCCCGATGAGTTGTTTCACGTCGTTGGAAAATGGACCAAGTGCCAAATTCACGGTGTGTGTGGAGGGGAACATTGGCAGTGGGAAGTCGACGCTGCTGAAACATTTCTCTCAGTGTGGTGATGTTGAAGTCCTCGAGGAACCTGTCGATAAGTGGCGCAATGTCCGAGGTTGTAATCTGTTGGTAAGTTAACTAAGTGTCAAGTGAGGCTTAGTTTATTTATAATTATTAATACTGTTTGTGTACATTGTGACTAAGTAAGATGTTTTTGTTTAACCCTTAAGTTAAAGATGTTTTCTGTCGGCTTCAAGTATTTTATTTATTATTATTATTATCATTATTTAACATATTCATATTATTCATATTCCATAAAGGTTCCTTGTAGTTTGATTTGCTTTGGGGGTTAAACAAAATATTATTGGTATAAATGGTGCGAATTCTTAGAGTTAGAAAAGGTGAAACAATAATACGATAAAAAGTAGACCGGTACTGCCCACCTGAAGAATATCCCCCAGCTCATTTCACCGAAATATTAACCATCCTAACACTATTTTGGGTGGAATGGGTTATGGGGTAGGTTAGCATCTTCAGATGCTCCCAGAACTATTTGTCCTGTACTGTACCTTGAGGTTTTATTTAAGTCTAGACAAGTGTGTACGAGTTATTCTCGTATCTTTCTGAATCTTGATTAAATGTTTTAGTGAGAATCCTGATGAAAACCATTAGGCTATGAGTGACACAGCATACTATACAGTGGATATATATTATTTTGGTGGTCAAAGATATCATGCTATACAAAGACTACTCAGCAGTATACCAGTTTCTAAGTTAGATCACCTGAAGATTAGACACCCAGTTTATTTCACCTTAGAATTAACTACACTAACCTAACCTCCCATTTAGTGTTAGAGTGGTTAATAATCAGGTTAAATAAAATGGGGTGTCTAATTTTCAGGTGATCTAAGTTTTAAGAGTACAGTACAACACAACCTCAGTGAAATTTTGCACCTGCAGGAATTGATGTACAAGGATCCATCTCGCTGGGCTCACACCTTCCAGGCGTATGTACAGATGACCATGTTGGAGCACCACCTGCAGTCTACTTCACTACCTGTTAAACTGATAGAAAGATCTGTGTACAGTGGCAGGTGAGTTATAGTGGAAGAATTGCCATAGTCATCAGGATAGTGGGGCTGGGGGTAGTGGAATGTGTGTGGTGTCGGAGATGGTGGAGTGTGTGACGTTTAGGGTGATGGAGTGTGTAGTGGAAGGTTGGAGTGAGAGTGAACATCGTAGAGGGTGTTCGGGTTGAAGCGTTGTGATTGATTGTGTTATTGATTATTTTACCTAAGCGACTATAATTGATTGTTTGGGTCACCTGAAAATTAGGAACCCTGACTTATTTCTCCTGAAGTTTAACACCCTAACAATAACCTAACCTAACCAATCCTAACCTGACCTCTTAGGTAGCATTAGTGTGGTTATTCTTCGGGTGAACTGATTATTCTCGCCATGTGTTTAATCCATGTTTACATTAAGCAGTTGAATATTTTAATATCTTTTGGCATAACCACTTCACTATGGGACACCATTTTTAACTTGATTTGAGACGGTCTGTGTTTATACCTAACACCAAACGATTTTATTCTGTACAGAGGACCTCGCACACAAGGGGTTAAAGTAGATTCTTTTTAGGCCTTATGTAGAAGTGTCAAAGTAACATATATATTGCACTGTTTGTGGATTATTTCAGTGTTTGATCTTTACCCCAGGTACTGCTTTGTGGAGAATTTGTTCAGGAGCGGGAAACTGCTGGATGCAGAGTTTAGCGTTTACTGTGAGTGGTTCAGGATGATAACGCAGCACGTCAACCTTGGTGTAGATCTCATTGGTATGTCTTTTCAGACTTTGTGCAGAATAATACAACTGTTTTATTTAAATGTTTTGTGATTTTAAAAGGGTCAGAAATATTGATGAAATTACGTCATGCATAGGATTCCCTGTACATGTACAAGCAATGTTAAGGGTTTGTGTGCTTTATAGATACTGTACTCATACAGTATGTACAATATGATTCAGAGAAGTTTTGTTTTGTCACTGAAGCTTATGTTAAAGTCTCTGTGTTGCATCAGAGGTTGTGTTCTGCCATGATTGTTTTTATGTATGTTTAGTTTTATGTCTGTTGTCATGGTGCTCACACTCCTAAATCAATTGTATACATCTTATGGTGTGATTCTGTCTATGTGTTTTAAGTTTGTATTGTGATACAGTGTATGTTTGTAACTATAATATGGGACTTAGGTGTTAAATCCTTTTTTAATATGTGGATGGTAATTAGCTGTGACTACTTTTTACATTTTAAGGTCTCAGTATAGTAAGTGATGTGTACATCTGACATTTTTTGTATGGTACTGTAATGCAGTTCAGTACATGACTTTGGAGGCAGGTGAAGGGAAGGACCCAGGAGGCTGGGTGGTCTGGTGGGCTACTGGGTAGTTTGAGTGATATGAAGGCGATACACGTTTAGAAATTAGTGTCAGAATTATTGGTTAATGTTTCTGTAGTATTTCTGAATAGTGAAGTGTTTAAATTTTAATTTGTAAACCAGCTGAGTTTGTTAACATACGTACAGTCTTACCACAGTGTAATGGAGCTGTGATCTGTTAGTTAACATTATGTCAAGATTCCTCTGTAATTAACCCAGAATAGTACTGTATTAGCAAGTTGATTTATGTGGAATTATTAAACTGTATAATAACAGGAAAATTTGATAAAGAACTGTATTGCTCTTATAGACACATGTGAGCTCCTTAGAAGTACTTGATAAAAGTTTTGTTTATTCATCATCTCCACAGTGTACATGAGGACTGACCCTTGCAAGCTCCACGATCGCATCAGGAAACGATCACGTTCAGAAGAGCAAACTATTCCCATTCAGTACTTAGAGGACCTCCACAGACTACACGAGGAGTGGCTGATAGAGAAGAAATACCCTCTGCCATGTCCTGTGCTTGTCCTGGATGCCAATGATTCCTTACCTGTCATGTGAGTTACTGCTTGTTCAGTTCCAGAGGTTGTGTGAATGGTGTGTTTTCTTCTGTTTATTATTATTGTTCTTAGTGTTTTTCTTTCACTCTCGCTTGCTTGACCGACTGAATGTTTTAGAGTTATTAATAGCCGTTTCCTGTTGCACTTGTTTCTTTAGATGTTAAAATGTTAAATCAAATCTACTGTTGTTCAGAAAAGAAGCTTTATATACAGTGACCCCTCGTTTAACGAACACCTCGGTTAACGTAATTTCGATTAACGAACTGCCTTCCATAAGGATCTTCAATTCGGTTAACGAAGTTCTTACGAACCGACCTCAACGTGTTTTCGCTTGCACTGACCGGGCAACCAGCTTTAGTATCAGTCCGCCAATACATTAATCGGTTCTAGGGCTTAAATTCCTTACTATTTTAGTAAATATCAAGAAGTTTATACTGTTCAATAATTTTAAAAGTTTAATATTCAATTTTTTAGTCATTTTAACAATTATTGAACATAATTGAAGGTAAAGTGACTAGTTTAATGCGCGGCATCCAGCCTCTTAACACAGCAAACAGGCGTTAGTCTCTCTGTTCTCACTGGAGGTAACATCTTGCTTGAGACTCTCTTCAACTAAACCCTTTTTTTTTGTGTTTCCAAGCAAATTATTGGTCATTTTGAAATATATTTTATATATTGACAATATATAATGCAGTGCAGTGTTGATTTAAAGAAAATAATCTTGAATTACACCAGAGAGCTAAAATTTTATGGGTGAAATGGTGCCATGGGGTGACTTCTCTTCCACCCCAATGCCTCTCTTCTTCCTTCTCCTCCACCCCCATTCTAAATCCCATCATCATCATCATCATCCAGGAGCCTTCTACATACACACCTCAAAGTAAGTGAACTTTTCTACCATTTTTTTTGAATTTAGGAAATTTTCGGTGAGCTGGAACCAATTACCCAAAAACCCATTGAAACAATGGTTTCGGTTAACGAACGACCTTCTGGAACGGATTGAGTTCGTTAACGGAGGGGTCACTGTATATATATATATATATATATATATATATATATATATATATATATATATATATATATATATATATATATATATATATATATATATATATATATATATATATATATATATATATATATATATATATATATATATATATATATATATATATATATATATATTTATTTATTTATTTATTTATTTATTTATTTATTTATTTATTTATTTCTGCCTTTTTTTGATACCATAGTTTATGTTCATCTAAAATACTTGCTGCACATTTAACTTTTCTTATTGAATTTTATGCTGTTAACTATTGTCAGGAATCAAGTAGTCACAACAAAGACCGTGTGGTTACTCCTCGGACTGACATAGAGTAATGGAGGCATTGAGAGGAGTGTCAGTCACTAGTTGCTGGTACTTGCGATAATCCTCCTACAAGTTTTATTTGATACTGTAATATTTTATTAAGAGCAAACTTTTAAATCAATACTGTGCCTTGCTCTTATATTTACTCTATGCCTGTTTGTGTATTTTAGTATCTGTGACAATAACTGTACAGGGAAAATAGATTTCCTTATATTATTCTTATATCTCACAGGTACAAAAAGTTTGAAGAACATACATCAGACATCCTGTGTAAGAAGCTGGTGGAAGGCAGTGTCATGGGAGCCTCAGTCATTACTCAACCATCCTCGCCGGTTAAGGCTGTTGTATGATGGTTAAACTTTTATTTAATTAAATGTGATTTATTTTATTTGGTTTGAAATGTTTTGCAAAAACTATGGGATTCAAATATTATATTAACCTCAACAAGTGAGTGCCAGCATATACCTTCTGGTGGTCAGGATGCTTGACTTACCATACTCAGTACAGTATTAAGCTTCATACAGAACATGTTTGAGTGTGGTTAAGTTGTGCAAGAACATGAAAGACGTATTGATGGTTGGGAATAATGCAGTACTTTGGGACCACTTGACTCATGTCTCTTTTTTGTTGATTATCAAATTTTGTTTCTTTATGGAAATATAGTTTTATATTTTAAGATGTTTCCAGTGGAGGACTGTAGTTGCCATCCCTCAGATATGAGGATGGTACAGTACTGTGAATGAATGGCATTTAATAATTGCCAATATTTTTTTAACCAAAGTCTAGTAATAAGTGAAATGATTTATATATAAAATAATGTAAATGAATGGTTTCTTATTTACACTTGAATTTTTGTTCTGGGAAAGTGTGTAGAGGCAATGAATTATTGCTCTGGAACAATTGGAGTAACACATATTTTAGAGATGTTTGTAAATTCTAAAATACATACCGGTATGCTAGGCCTCACCATTTCCTCTCAAATGTCATGGAAGCCACACATCCACAACATTGCTAAAGCTGTCTCCTGAAAGCTGGGAATGCTGTACAGATGCCATAGCTATTTCACTCTTGAGCAGTTGCTTCAAGTTTATAAAGGATTCATTCGTCCTAACTTGGAGTACTGCTCTCGTATCTGGGGTGGCTCTTCTTCTGTCCAACTGTTAGATAGGGTGGAATCAAAGGCATTTCGTCTTATTAACTCCTCCTTTAGTTGATAATCTCTCTTGCTTTTCTCTTCGCTGCAGTGTTGCTGCACTCCCTTTTACAGGTACTTTAACGGGCAATGTTCGGTGGCTTTGGCATCCTTTGTACCGCCGGAAAGGCCGTGGGCTCGTAATACTGGTCTTGCCCGCGGTGTCCACCGTTTCTGTGTGGATGTCAGCCACACTAGAATAACCCGCTAAAGTACATCCTTCTTTCCTCACACAGCCAAACTGTAGAATGCTCTGCCTTCTGTGTTTCCATACTCTTACAATCTGTCTCACTTCTAAAAGCTGGATTTTCAGCATCTTTGTGGTGTAGATTAATATTGCCTTTTTCTCCTCTATTTATAATTTCTTTATACTGTACTCTATTTTTTTTAACCCACCAGGCCCCATTGTGGGTCGATGACCTATGCCCAGGTGGGGTATTCCCCGTAAAAAAGAAAAAGAAAAAAGAAAGCATTTTGTGTTTAGGATTGTCTGTGAAGTATATTTTTAATTAGATGACAACAAGAACCTGTTTTTATTACTGTGGTATTCTACTCTAAACCATCTTCACTTGTATTTTCTCGTTCATCCCATGATGTATCTCAAACCATGACTAATTGCAGGCTCTTCCTGAAGGTAGAAGTAGATTAACCCTGATGAATGAAAGAATTCAGTTATCCTGTTTATTATGGTAAATGGGAATACCCCATACCATACTTATATCAGCTGGGCACAGGTGAGTGGAACAAAGAACCATCTAAAAGGTTGAGAGCTACAGGTGTGGTGTTACTGATGAAATGAGGCATTGTAAGACTGGTTACAAGGAAGCCAGTCCCAGAAAATTATGAAGCAGACTCATAGTTTGGCTCTTGTAAGTGTGTACATTATGTTCCAGGGAGAGGTTAGAGAAAAGCCAGAACAACTGTATTGAAAAATTTAGTACAAGTTTAACAAGGGTGAGAGATTTATTTGCAGGTATGGTGAAGCCTTACACATTAATTAGCAGGATGGTTGTATCTTGTATCACTTATTTTCCCTTTTTATCATATTACTGTACTAATTTATTCACTCTACACTGAAGTGGGAGAACAAGGTAAAGGAAACGGAGATAGAAATCCACCCAGATGTCTGACAACCAAATGAAAAAAGATGTTTTGTAATACACTCAGGACCTACTGTCTTGGTGGGAGGTGTTGTCCACTAGTTTAATTGTAACACTGATTAATTTTGTTCATTGTGTATTGATTACCATATACCAAAAAGTTCCTGGGGAGAAAATGTAGTCAAGAGGTGGGATGTTTTCAGGTCAATGGCATCATCTGGATAAGCTGTTACCCATGAAGTGTACCAGTAATTGATTTCATAGAATCACTTGAAGACTAGATCCCCTAGCTTATTGCGCCTTAAGATTAGCTACCATAATATCTAACTTAATCTAAGTTCCCCAGGTGGCTTTAGGGAGCTTCATCATCAGGTGAAATAAAACTGGGGGCTAATCTTTAGGTGATTCCACTAACTATACAAAGCAAACCACGGCTGCAAAAAACTGGCTCAAATAGTGTTCAGTCTCAGGCGCTCTTATTAAATGAACTGCAGTAGGAGTGAGATCATTTTCAAGTACAGTACATAATCCAGAAGTTGGTTATAAGCAATAATGTTGCAAACTGATCAAGAAGCTTCAAGATGCTTGTGTAGGTTCCCCAGTTGCTGTCTATGGTCATATTACCTTCCGATCTTCAAATGGTTCTATTTCAAGTTAAGTTAATGACACGCACCTATACTGTACAGTATATGTATGCTATATACAGAGAGACGAATGTAGATAGATGTACTGTAATCAATTTAGCCATCTTGGATATATCCATAAACAAACTGAGCAATTGTTCCCATTTGAGACTAAAATTAGTATTACCAAGAATGCTTACAGGGAAAAAGAAAGTTAAACATAGAATTTTTTTTTATTTTAAAGTAGAAGCCAAAGTCACTGTTAGAACACGAGTAAAATGTCAGCTGCAAAACATTATTGCCTCAACGCTATCAATAAAGGTCGTAAATATATATATAAATCTCCACCAAAACAAAATGAAAGTAATATATAAAAACTCCAACGCCTTTAAAATATTCATATAAGAATTATATATGAAATTTACATATGTTGAATATGTCTTGGCGTACATTAAATGTTTATTATTAGCGACTTGGTAACTGTGGGTGGATAACACTACAGTCTGGCGTCCCCTGTATACCTGCCCTCATTTACTTCCCTTCAACATGCCTAGGAACGAGAAAATTGGGATTGTGGGCAGGTAAGGAAGTTAATGTATATATTTACATTTGGATTAAACTTTAAATTCTGCCTGTCAATTTGTCAAGGACCGTAGTTAAATATGTATTCACTTTCACCATCACAAGAGTCTTCATTGATTCATTATGTATATTGGCAATGTAGTTAGTATATTTAGCAATGGCAAGACCCAGTAAGTTGATTTAGCATAAGAATGTTGTATCTATTGGAGTGATAATATTAATACATTATACTGTATATGTCTCGTCTTCACTTGTATATGTAATGTATTTACGTTTTTAAGTGTTTTGGCGATTAAACTTTGCAGTGGATATTTTGCTGTGACTGGCTAAGTTCCTAGTACCTAATGTTATTTTACCTGGCGTTTGCGCTTATTGGCTAAGTACTTAATAATATGACGTGGGGACCGTCCATGAAGTTAGGTAGGTTCTTTGGTTGGTTTGGTCAGGTTTTATTATAGGTTCTAGTAAATGTCGCCTCTTTTAATGATAAGAACATGTGGGAAAAAATTAACAAAATCGAACAACTCCTTCTGGTGGTAGTGGTGTTCTCAGACATTACTGTATTTTTAACCTCTTTACAGGTTAGTTAAGGTTTTCAGTGGTTTGTTTGGTGTTCCTTTTATTATTTTACCTCATATTTTCCCTCTGCTGCCCTTTTTGAACAACCAATATTGTTGGTAATTGGGGAGGTCTTACCGGTTAAAATACTAAAAAAAAATTAACTTTGCGCCGGAAACATAACAGAATACAGTATTTTTGGGGTAATTTACGAATTCACAGCCGCTGATTTTTCATAGAAAAGAATTTAAAAATGCCGGAATTTCACATTGTTTTAAAGTGGATACACATGTAGTTATGGCAAATTGATCAATTAATGATAGTAGCCAGGTTTTGATTTTTCCATAAGGAATATGTGTTTCCTGTGATTCGAACGAATCTGACCTTCGTTTATGGTGCTACCCTAACCTAACCGGAACCTGGCTACTGTCCTAAAGTGACCAGAAAATGTGTTAAAAAGTGTTTATTTAAAGGTTTGATTTCAGTTAACCTATCCTCTGCTCTCCTAACATAACGTAATCGAACCTTAACCTAACCTTAAACTGACCTAACCTAGCTAAACCTGCCGTGGGCAAACTTACTGTTACCGAGACAGGGAAAGCGGCTTTCTCCCCAGATAAATAGAAATACTGTATGAAATTCTATGTTTGATGTAAAACGATTTTTTACCTCTATTTTTGTTAGTAGTTTCCATGCACAACAGAAATATAGTTAGGTATGTTTATAGCTACACAATGATCAACTCAAGGTGAAATAAATGCCAAATGCCGCCAGTGTCACAGTCAATATAATTCTCGCTTTGTCCGCCGGTAATGGACACCATATTAATAGAGTGCCAGCATACAACATACAAAGACAATGCAGGTATATAATCTACACAGACAGAGCTGGTTTACACACACACTATATAGTATTTAGATAGTGATATTGCTTTCTTAAATTGTAGCTGTGAGAATACAGTACTGAATGGAACCACTATTGTGGCAAAATTCAACAGACCCAGAAGTTTTTTGCAATCGTGCCAAGAAACTTCGTGCTTTACACAAAAGGCTTCTACTTTGTTTATCAAATCTGTTACTTTTGTTCCTGGTAAACTGACTGACTGCTGATTTGTATCCCACTGGAGACCTTACCAATCCAACTTTTGACATGGTATTAAATTTGATTTGACCTGGTTTATCTTTAAACCATGGTTTTGAAATAGTACTAGTGTGCGTTGGGTCGCCCTTTGACAATCTTCGAAAGAGTTTCCCATTATCAGCCAATCGTCTAGATAAGCAAAGGTTCTTATGCCCTCCTTTGCAAGGATCTTTCTGGGAATGTTTGCCAGTTTTGTAAAGACTCTTGGTGCAATTGTCAGACCGAATGGCATCACTGTGAATTGATAACTTAATTCCCCTACTTTGAACACCAGAAATTTTCTGTACCTGGGAGCAACAGGAACGTGATAATAGGCATCTTCGAGATCCACTTTTGAGATCCAAGCATTGGGCGGAAGTAGATGCCTCAGATGGTCGTAAGTGAGCATCTTGAAACTTCTTTTGGTAATAAATTTGTTTAGGATTGAAAGATCCAAAATCCACCTTCATTTGTCACTGCCTTCCATGGGGACTGGGAATAGGCGAGACATGAAACATTTCTCTGACTGTAACAGTTCTATGACACCTCTATTTAGTAGTTGACTTACAAATTTTGCAAGTAATGGGGTTGGTTTTTTACCCTTTTTTGGAAATGCTAGGGGAGGGCGCCTCAACCAAGTCCATGTGAGACCCCCTTTGATTGTCTTGTAAGCCCATATGGAAGAAGTCCATTTCTGTTTTCTCATCAAGGGATGGTAAGAAATTATCTCCTAGTCAATTGACAAAATCCTTATATCAATTGGTGAATCAAGCAGACCCTGGCAAGAAATTTTTGGCACATGACACTAGGAAATATGCAGGGTCTGTGGCCTTTCTGTGGCATATGAGTCTCAGTCAGATCAAGGAAATGGGCTTTTGGAGATCTTCAAAAACTTTCAAAGACAGCTATCTTCATCTATCTCTGAGAGATGCTTCAAATGTGGTGGTGCTGGGTTCCCCTCCCCCACTTAGTCAATCTCCACTACCAGGACCTTCTTCCTCATCAGAATAAAGTGAGTATCCTTTTTGTGTAAATTAACGTTTTACCTTCCGGTAAATATTCCTAATTTTGGAAATATTCCAAACGGTTTATAATATAATCTGGACCTCAGTCAGCGGAGCCTTGTATGCAAAGTCGCCTCCCTCTCCACCTCCTTCTCGGGTATTCTTGCTGACGTCGCATTCAGAGTTTGAACAAAAAGCCGTTTTTTTTTCTAAAAACCAGTTTTTGTGATATAGCTCGGAATGCGACGTCCATAACCCACCCATCTCCACCCCTTGAGAATTAACTTTTATTTACTGCTCGCTCTGAGGCAAGAGATGAGGATCATGATACATATAGTGGGGGGTGAAGGAGGGGGTTTGAGAATTGCAATTAAATGTCAGGTAGCGACGTGTCCTCCTAATATTACTTATTAAGTAATTATTAGATGTTTTAATTGCCTGTATGTTGGCCTGGCGAATTGGCTAGGAATTAACATACAGTCTCAACAGGTTCTTCCTGCTCAAGCGACTGAATACTATGATTAGAACCAGCCTCATCGTCCTGATCCTGGAATCCACTGAAATCAGATTGAGTAGATAGAGTTTTTTTTGTAGACTTCCTACTGCCCCATTGTCTGGAGTTCCTTATATGAACTTTCCCAGTATTTGTCGGCTTCAAAATATGTTGATATAAGTTATGAAAAAAATTTGAAACCAGTTGCCCCTGCACTGCTGCTTGAAGAATTTAAAATTAGGAAATTGGCAGCAGATGTTTGGTCTGCAATTATGATGTGTCAGTTATTAACTAAGTTTGTGCTGGACTATGAAGCAATTCAGAAGTGGACAAATGTTTTGCTGCTGCTTTACAAGGAATCCCATATTCCCTGTACAGCTCATTTTTAGATCATTTGGTGAAAGTCCAGCTAAGGAAACAAGCATCAAATAATGCTTCAAGTGGTAGCGCATATTTGTTGATACGTTCTTCTCCTCTTTCTCCGGCTTTGTTTGGTGAACAATCATTGGTTAATTATAGATCATCTTTGGAGAATACGTACAGTATATAATACTGTACTCATTCTTACAATTCAAAGTTCTCATGTGATGTTGGTTACATTATTTAGAGACAAGAGTCCACACTTGAGAGATAGAGACCTGGTTTAAGGAGTCTATTGTACTTGATAAGATAAAAACTTGAGAACCTGACATTAAGAAACAGGTGCTACTATAGCGTACCGTCTACATAGATATCTTTAGTCTAGCCCAACCCAACCTAACCTAACCTAACCTGGTCACAAGAAAATTTTGGTAGTACAGTACACATTCTAAAGTAGTACAGTATTGAGCAAATTGTAGACTGCAGTCTATAGGGTAAATATGTTGTAGACTACACACTACAGTATAGCTGTTGTAGATAGTAGCATTGAGAAAATCTTCTTGCTTTATATCCTATGTACTGTACTGGTACAGTACTTATGTTTCATTGTCAGGCTTTTGTTCCCACGTCATGGAGGATGGCTAGACGAGCAAACACACTTTTTTTATTTATTTTATTTATCAGCTTACTAGCCATTCAGTTGGTCAGTCCAGTGCTCTGGTACAGGAGGAAACCGTAGTACTGTACTGTACAGTACAGTACCGAGAGAATTTAAGATGTAATGTCTGGTAGGGTCACACACACACACACACACACACACTGGAAAACATCCAACTCATGTGAACATATCTGTCATAGAGATTTGAATCCATGCCTTTCTTTTAATTTGTACCTGAATTGTTTTATAATTACTGTACATATTCCTAATGTCTTCCATAGTGGCTTCATTGGTCGCAGCTGGGCCATGCTCTTTGCCGGTGTTGGATATGAGGTCTGCATTTATGACATCAAAGCAGAACAGGTATGTGGCTGAAAAAAGTACTGTGGTTAAAATGTGCTTCATTTTGTGCCTCGCTGTTACATGTTTTTCTATACAGTGAACCCTCACTTTACGCGGTTAATTGAACCCACGGCGGCCCGCGTAAAGTGAACAACATAACATATGGGATTAATTGAAATAGAGACCGGGCCGACTCCCCAAACTCCACTTTTTCCCGACACAATACGTACGTTTTACTAAAAATAACATCTTAACTTTATGATGGTATTAACACACACATAATATAGAAGGGAACAATCAATAAGAGAATAATAAACTGAAGGTTAGGTTAGAAAAAAACAAGGTTGGGGTTAACACTTACGTTAGTAGAAGAGATGGGTCGGCGTAGGGGAATGGAGGCTGGTTCCGAGGCAGAGGGCAGGCTACTGGCCCTCAGGTGAGTCTTCATCGGTGTCATCCACACTTACTAGTGCCTCCCTGACAAATCCCTCAAAGTCATCATCACTGTCTCTGCCCCTATCACTGGCTTGGGCTGGCTGTGGTGGGTTGCGGGTGAAGAGCTCTGTTATGCTTTGCTGACGGCTGGTGTTTATGTTGTCGTGATAAACCTTGATGTAGGGCTCCATAGTCTGCAACAGCTGGGTAGTGAAGATTTCATACCTGTTAGCGTCAGGGTCGTCGGAAAGGAGGAGCTTGACTTTCTCAATACACTCGATGGCACCCCTTACATTACTATGGGATAAGTGGCGTTCTTCTTGGGATGACGCACCACCTGCCTCTTCACTGACGTCATCATCATCTACCATCTCTTCGGTAGTCACATCAGGATCCCTTATCACCTCCAGGATGTCGTCGTTGGTGGTCTCGGAGAAGCCTGCAGCTGTAACACTCTGCGCAGCTTCTCTAGCAAGGTCCACTGCTACTGCAACAGTCTGAACCTCACCAGTCACAGATTTACTCTGCCTAACACCCGGAATACCTTGCAACACATGTCTCCATGCGTGGCGAACAGTTGCTACAGACAGCTGATCCCATGCCTCCACCAAGAAGTCCACAGCTTTCTTGATGTTGAATGTTCTCCAGAATTGTTTCAAAAGTACTTCTTGCTTTGCCAACTGTTGATCCTCGTCGTCTTCGCTCTTGCTATCGGTGTTGGTGTCACTCAGGTAACGCAACTCTTCCTTGGTGTTGGTGTAGTCATTCAGGAGCTTGAATTTTTTAGCAGAGAATGCAGCTTTTACATTACAGATCAATTCTTGGTCCATGGGCTGTATTATAGACGTAGTGTTGGGAGGAAGGAAGACCACTTTTACGTTGGGGTGACGATCTAACAGTAGGGGCAAGTGTCCTGGTGCGTTGTCAAGCAGCAACAAAATCTTGAGTGGCACATTCTGTTGCTCACAGAATTTCTTCACATCGGGAATGAAACAGTCATCAAACCAGGAGAGGGACAGAGTAGAGAACATCCACGCCTTACGTGCGGTCAGCCAGTGGACATTTAGCTTGGTCATGTCCATGCTCTTGTAGGCGTGCGGCTTGCGTGCTGTGTGGATCACCGATAACTTGAGCTTACAGGTACCGGAGGCATTGGTGGTAAACAGGACGGTGGTGCGCTCCTGCAACTTCCGGCACCGACACTTGCTGGCATTCTTCACAAGGAAGGTCTTGGAAGGTAGCTTTTTCTAAAAAAGACCAGATTCGTCCATGTAAAACACCTGGTCGTCGGTGTACTGTCCTTCCTCCATAATCTCATGTAAAAACGGAGGAAATTCCCTAGCCGCAACACGGTCAGCACTAGCTTCTTCACCACTAATGTTGATATTGGTGATCTTGTTCCTCTTCTTAAACCTCTGTAACCACCCAGAGGAAGCATTAAAGGGTTTGGGCTCTGTAATTCCCATCTTTCGTGACACCGCAGCATACAGTTCACGTGCGTACTCCTTAACTGAGCGTGTGTCCACCGCCATGTTCCGTCGCGCCTGACGCACCAAGTAGCTCACAAGTAATTTTTCCGTCTTGATAAGCACCTGGTTGTGGAAATACTTGATCATAGAAGCACCTGTAGACTTTGTGATGTTCATGTGCTCCTTTATCTTGGCTGCATCCTTCTTAAATGTCCTGATAGTTGATTCGTTAACACAATGCTGGCACGCGAGATCAACCTGTCTTGTTCCTTTCTCCAACTTTTGTATGATCTTATATTTTATTTCGTAGCTTAAGGAACGTCGTGTCTATTTTGGCTTAGGGCGGCTGGGTCCAGGTAATGCAAGGTTTCTTTGTGGTGGTGGTCCGGTGTAAGCCATTCTTATGGAACAATGGATACCGATATACACGGTGTAGCCAGGAGGGGTGTAACTGACGCGGGTAAGTCAAGGGGCTTGAACGCTCCCGCGGCGGGGCACGTCATAGTACATTAAACCAATCACAGCTAGCGGGGAGGGAGGTAAGGATGCTTTGCCCAATCACAGTCCGCTATGTTGTAAAGGCGTGGGACTTTGGGGATAGAAATCCCTTACCAGGCTAATCAGGATCTTAATAAAGGAAAGTCAAGGACCATGGTTTTCGGAGGAATAACAAACAACCGTTTGAGATTGACATCTCTTTACTAAAAAAATATAACACAAAACTCTGACACCACTCGACAAACATCAAATAATTACGGGAGTCAAACAATTAAGTCTAGTCAACAGTTAATGGAGTCAAACAATTAATGGAAGCAAACAATTAAAGGGAGCAAACAATTAAAGGTAGTCAGCAATTAATAGAATCAAACAATTAATGGGAGTCGACAACTGATAGAATCAAACAATGAGCGGATATTTCCTACGGCAGTGGCCCTGGGGGAAGGTTCTGGAACACGGTGATGCACACTCAAGGTAGGGAAGCGTCCATTCAACTCCACACTCGAGCGACGTCGTGAAATGGCAGGAGAACACCGGGGCACAGATGGAATGAGATGAACTGACGGTTGTGGTATGGTAGTGGTAGATGACCAAAGAATTGACAGTCGATAGGTGAAGGTCTGGGGACACAGCCCACGAATCCAGGACCTATGATGAGATCACAGCCAGAATTTGACGAACAGCGGGGTAGCTAGATAGTGACTGTATGGCGGCTGGGTTGAATCTGCCGGTGACCCAGATAGTCGCTGCCATTCTCACCTCTGTCCAACCACCCCAAGTGTCGTCTGCACCAGCAAACGAGAGAGTTAGCAGCGGTAACGAGCCAGAAGATCGTTTCCGCCCTTACATACGTCATATGACGTCACCGATAACGCAACAAAGACATACACTGCGCAACCTACTCGCGCCGCTTACACAACATGGCGGATGGCGGGAGAGGGCAGGAGAGATGGCGGGAGGTTTGGATAAAAAAATGGCGCGGCGCGAGAGGACATCCAGCCGCTCTCCGCGTAAAGAGGTACACACACCGCGGAAAGTGAGCATTCCGTGTTCGGCAGGGTACCGCGTAAACGTGGAAACGCGTAAAGTGGAACCGCATAAAGCGAGGGTTGACTGTACATTATATTTCTAATTGTCTTGAAATGTTTCAGCCGTCATTATCAGTTTCCATCTTGCCACTGAGCATATCTTGACTCTCCACCAGTGCCAGGCCACACCATCTAAAGAGCTGTGCCTGAATTGGTTGTTTTTTAATCCTCCCTATTGAAAGTTCTGTCCACTTTACCGGTAAATGTGTGTGTGTTTACTCATCATGGATAGCAAGTCTAGAAAATACCGCATCGTTGGTTTTCACTACAATATTTTGTTTTTTTATTTTTACTGTTGCAAGTTCTATCCCATTTGGTGCAAGGTGGTGTGGATCAATAACAATAGTCTTCATTGCTAAAGTTTGATTGTCTTTGATATGAATTAAGTATACATTGGGTAAAGTATAAAGGATAAAAGGATATTATTTGAAGTAAATTCAAGGTAATTTCTGGAGTTTATTTGTATAATATCAAATTGTCTGCCATAAATATACAGTACTGTACAGTATAGCTATTGTAGCAGTAAATGGTGTAAAATTGTGTTCGTATTACTAAGTACTGTACAAGTTTGTATATTGAGTATTTGCATCAACACAGTGACTGTTAGTGCTGCAATAGTTACTGGTAGTTGTCTGGATCCATCTCATGTTTTGCCAGTTTTAGCAAAATTTGTGTGACCTAGAAATTTAAGTTCTATAATTTATTTGGCTGCCAAAGCTGTGTAATTTTTCTAGATATGGAACATGAACCTTCTCTGTAAGTGGTATAGTACTGTATATAGAATATAATATCAAATTGTGTTTTTACTTATTGTTGCCCAACCACAGTGTGAGGCCTGACAAATATGGCACTTAGTGAAAATACAGCTCCCCGACTTATGACCTACTCGACTTACGACCACCCACACTTACGACCTGCCCAGTCGTACCAAAATTTTGTCAAATTACGTATTTTCGAGTACCAGCATCAGTGATTACGCTGTGTACTGACAAAATTTTCCTTTGTAATTCACTTTAAAATGACTGGCAAGCTTAAAAGTGAGAGTTTTGTGGTGCTGTACAGTACAGTCAGCCTCTCCTCTCAGGTGTCGGCAGCACTGGACGACATTCTGCACCAGCTGAAGAACCTACACAAGTCAGGACTACTGCGGGGCAAATTATCAGTGGAGGAACAACACAAGTGCATCAAAGGTTAGCTTTGGCTTTGTTCATCTGTGTAACACTCACTTCTGAGAATATGTACCTGATATCCACTGTTAGATTTTTAACACATTTTGTTTTATAATTTTCACCACATCCATCAGCTTACTAGCCAGTCCGGCTGTCGTTTTGTTCTCTGTTATGCACATCTATTCCCTGTTATAACCCTCATCTTCCAGTATTAGCATAGGAGGGAACTGGAGTACTGCACAGTAAGTACCTAAGAAAATCTGCTTTATTAATCAGAGTGAAAAATATTTGCTTTTACTGTGCATTCCTTGTTAAAATTATCCTCACTTTGTATACCCAAGATTTCTAAGGTATCTTGTGTAATATTTTCCCTAATTTATGCATGAGAGACTTAGTATTATTCATTCTTCAGGTGCTACCAGTTTGAAGGAGTGTGTGTCAGGAGCTGTATTCATACAGGAAGCTGTGTTTGAGGACCTGGAACTGAAGAAGAAGGTAAATAAAAATGATACAAGCTGTCATCACTGAAAGCAGATTATATATTAAAAGATACTCACAGTTATGTAGAATATAATCATATGGATATTTGAGGTAGCTAAGGAGTTGTTAACCCCCCTGTGTGTGAGGCTATAGTAAGACTCTATTGGTCTGTTCATCTGTGTGTCCATTAGCATAGCTTTGTACTATATTTAAATATTTTACTATCAATGCTCCGAAAATTCAGGAATTCTCGCTACTTAAGAATGAAATTGCTCGCCAAGACTTGATTAGGATTATGGGAGATCATCCGTTCTGTGCTGCTCCACCCAGGTAGTCATTGTCTTGTGACCTAGTGTATCATATTGCTTGCCCTGGTTGTTACTCTGAGATTTTTTTATTTTTATTTACAAATTCTATCCGAACAGTGGCTGATATATATATATACAGTATACGGCATAGTCTGGATTTACGCGGTTTTTGTTTACGCGTTTGGTCATTTACGCGGCGAGGTCCAGACGCAACGCGCCATTTTTTACTCATGCGGTCCATTCTTGACCATACGCGGAAGCGGCGCGGTGAGGAGTGCGCATTAGGTCGCTCTTACGTTATCGCTGACGTCATATGACGTACTGGACTGTGATTGGGCCACGCATCCTTACCACCCACACATTCCCTCCGCCGCTAGCTGTGATTGGTCTAATGTAACATGACGTGCCCTGCCACCAGAAGTCGCTGACTTAGCCGGGCCAGTCTCGTTGTTCTCAGTCTGCGTATACAGTTCTCTCTTGTGCCTGCTATTACCCTCACAATGGCTTCCGCTGGACCCCCACCACCCGAGAAAAACCTTGAATTACCTGGACCAAGCCATGATTATGTGAAGGAAATCATCGAGTTGGGGGAGAAAATTAGGCTCATCCTTGACAACGACCCAGACAAGCATCAGTATGAAGTGTCTAATAACCATCTGACGAACGTTATGGAGCCGTATATCCAGATCTATCTCGACAACATCAATGCTAGTTGTCAACGTACAGTAGTAGTAAAGACTTCTTCACCCGCAGCCCGCCACAACCACAGCCAGTCCAAGTCGGTAATAGTGACAGTGAGGATATGGAGTTTGAGGGGTTTGTCAGGGAGGCCCTGCAAACCTCTGCGAGTAGTGAAAGTCATTCACCGGAGGGCAACTAATCTGCCCTCTGCCTCGGAACCAGCTGCCATCCACGTGTGCCGACCCATCTTTTCTACTAACGTAAGTGTTAAAAAACCCTAATATTATTGATATTTCTCTTAATTATTAATTGTGTGCATATCACCATAAAATTATGATGTTATTTTGACTACAAGGTACGTATTGTGCCGGAAAAAGTGGAGTTTGGGGGTCGGCCCAGTCTCTTATTTCAATTAATCCCATATGTTCTGTTATTTCGTTTACGCGTTTCTCGTTTTACGCGGACCTCCACGGGTTCAATTGACCGCGTAAATGCAGACTACCATATATCGCGGCCTATAAGGCGTCGGGGTGCATAAGACGGCCCCCCAAATTTCCATTTAAAAAGTAGCTTTTGAGCTCTATTTGCTGTATAAGACCAGTACCCTAAATGTGACACTTACCCACTGACTCAGTAGTCCTTTACCAACCATCCTTGGTTTTTTAAAATAAGGCCAATTCACTTCAAGTAATGTCATCAAATATTACCCGCTGGTGTAGTGTAAACACTAGTGACGTCACTGAAGCGTCTGCTATTTACCAGTAACTGGAACTAATGTCGGTGTCGAGTAAAATTTTTCCATTTACTTGAAATGGATTTACCGATTTATTTGTTTATTTATTTATTTATAATATACTGTAACATATTAAACACACTGCAAGTATTTTCTTTCATTTATACGCTTGCTTCGCACGAGACGATCGGTGGTGGGAGTGTTCCCTCGTCTCGGTGGTGTGACTGTGTTCCGACTATTTATACAACAGGTGGTTCAACAGCAACCACCGTATTCTAACTGTGGTGTTTCATTAGGATTTGAGTGAAAAAGGTTACCGGTATGTACTTACTACATACATTTATTACACAAACATATATATATATATATCATATAATATATATAATCATATATATATATATATATATATATATATATATATATATATATATATATATATATATATATATATATATATATATATATATATATATATATATATATATATATATATATATATATATATATACACATACTGAATATACTATGTACAAAAAATGAATGTTCAATGAATTATTCATGGTGCATTAGGGTACTGGCCACTTCAGACACAAAGACGGGCCATAAATAGCCTTGTTATCTACCCCTACATCTCACCCTGAGCCAGAGGGAAGCGTCTTGGTAAATAACATTTGTTTGCTTATTTTCCATTTACTTGAAATAGATTTACCAAATTATTTGTTTATTTATTTATTTATAATATACTGTACAGTAATATATTAAACACACTGTAATTATTTTCTTTAATTTATAAAATTGTTTTGCGACAAAGGAATGTTTTCCAGTAGTGTTTCATTAGGATTTGAGTGAAAAAATATTACGTACTTACTACATACATTTATTACACAAACATATTTATATATACGGTACACACACACACACACATCCTTGACCACTGAAGGGTCAAGACGTACCTGGCGCTCCTCTCGGAGCAGCCAGGTCAACTGTTATGTTGGCCCATACCAACTCCCTCCCCTGAACCCTCCTCCCCACCGGAATATCAACATGTTCTCGCCAGAAGTTACTATTTCATTTAGGAAAGGAATGGAACCAGTGTTAAACAGAGGTGAACAGTGGTGAACAGTGCTTAAGTCAGTGAGAACAACTCAACAGTAGTACCCAAGATAACCTTCACACAGTGAGGTCCCAGGTACCCAGTGATAACGGCCCGTGAGACCCAACAACCAGCGATGTGTTAATGCGTCTACGATGGGAAGGCCTGGAACCACACCTCACTCATATAACACCATCTGTGAGGGAATTACTACACCACGTGAGGCCCCTCATAACACCATATGTGAAGGAGTTACTACACCACGTGAGGCCCCTCATAACACCATCTGTGAGGGAATTACTACACCACGTGAGGCCCCTCAAAACACCTTCTGTGAGGGAATTACTACACCACGTGAGGCCCCTCATAACACCATCTGTGAGGGAATTACTACACCACGTGAGGCCCCTCATGACACCATCTGTGAGGGAATTACTACACCACGTGAGGCCCCTCATAACACCATCTGTGAGGGAATTACTACACCACGTGAGGCCCCTCATAACACCATCTGTGAGAGAATTACTACACCACGTGAGGTCCCTCCTAACACCATCTGGGAGGGAGTTACTACACTACGTGTTTGCTGTTCAACACCTACAATAATTTGTATGTTCACTGTATGTTCCTTTACCTTTCTCTAATGAAGGCTTTTGTTAAACCACTAATGTATGTAATAAGTCATTTATGTCCAATGTATATTTTCAGCCTTCGGGCTGCAGAACTTTTTCAATAAACCGTCAATTATTATTATTATTACAGTATTATTACACACACACACACACACACACACACACACACACACTCTTACATACATACACACTCTTACATACATACACACATACATACATACATACATATATATATATATATATATATATATATATATATATATATATATATATATATATATATATATATATATATATATATATATATATATATATATATATATATATATATACACACGCACACACACATACTTTCTGCCTCATTTACACACAGTTGCAGTTTCAATTGTTCCTCTTACTTTGACAACACAACATACATACAGTATATTATTTCTCACTTTTGATCTTTTTTTTTTATTTTTTTATTTATTTATAGTTACGGTAGTTACTTAAAATAAGGCCAATTCATTTCAAGTAATGGCATCAAATGTTACCCGCTGGTGTAGTGTAAACACTAGTGACGTCACTTAAGCGTCTCTAATTAACTGTCGATAGTTTCAAGAATTAACTCAGTCATTTACTGAATATTCTTTGTAAAAAAATAAATTTTAAATCAATTATTTATAGGAGATAAATATTATTATCAGTAAATATACCGATGCCCGGTATGCATTACTGATCACCTCAACGGCTAAAAATAGCCCAATCTCGCGGTCACTTTTCCTTTCTTGTCTCCTCACTGGCAAATGGGGGGGGGGCGTGGGGAGGGGTGTGTGATGATAGCAGCTGTGTTTATTACAGGGTATGTTAGACAGGTTTATAATACATTTTTATTATTTTAATATACCGGTAATCTTAATTTGAATCCAGCTTGCCAAACGTAAGTTTCAGTATAAAATAATTACTGGTAGGACTTTGTGAGTGGCTTACGATGTTTCCATCACCACTCTTGACACAATATTTAAGATGTAAGAATTTTATATTTGTTACTTAAGACGACCCCATAACTTTGGGCAGATTTTTTTAATGTTCAAATTTCGTCTTATAAGCCGAGATATACGGTATGCTGTGCTGTATATATATAAAAACATTTAACTGAGAGATTCTTTCCTATTAGTATTCAAAAAGCTGAAATATTACAAAACTAAACAAAAGTATTTCTGCACACTAACTCAACTGCATGGTGAAGGAAACAACAATTTATGATATCAAGAAGCATTGTGATAGTGTTTTGAAATTCAGTACTGTCAGTGAGATAAATGAGGGCATGGCTAAGTATAAGTCATCATCTGGAGCAAGAGTTAGATGCTGTTTGGGAGTGGCCGAAGTAACAGAGAGTGATGGGGTACATATTCTGGCTCTCTTCAGGGTGTAAAAGTCAGACAGTTTCACCAGAACTTTAAATTAAACGCGGTAATACAATGTGTACCGGTAGTGGTGAAATAGCAGTTCCGCTCACACTGTACCGATGACCTTGTGCCTCATAAATAAAACACTCACTCACAATAATTTATCAATTTTATTATGAATACAGATAGACCCCGACTTACGACGGGGTTAGGGACCCAAATCCAGGTCGTAAGTCCCATTAGGTCAGTAAGTCCATAAGATAATTTTTTTAAACAAATAATCTACAATGAAATACAGTACAGTAAAAGTAATGAATAATGAGGAATGGATACAGTACAGTGAAAGTAATAAATAATAAGGAATGGTAACAGTGTGACTGAGCACTTACCTTTAATGTAGTCAGCTGAATGCACATGGGGCCCCCATAATTTTCTAATTATACATGGAGACTACATTAACTGGAAACGTTTCGGTATAGAAAATGCGTGTCATTTGTTTATTACTTACATAAATACCACAAAAACAATTTTTGAATGCAAAACCACAATCTTGCCTCCTTATTGCTCATAAAGTATATAACATGGTAATCCTCTTACTGCTCCAGATTTTTTATTTGGGTTTATTTCCAGGAGTAATTGTTATTTTTGACATTAGATAAAATTTATCTTTGAATTCCTTTCCTGTGAATATCAGGAATTTTAACCTTTACAGTATACAATACTAAATTTACTTTTCACTTTTTTCAGTCTTGTGTTGATATTGCCCATACAGTACAGGCAGTTGACAATAATTTTCTCTTAGGAAGTGGAAATGAACTAAATAGTTTAATAATTTTTTGTGTTCCAGGTGTTCCACCAAATTGATGAACTGGTAGACTCCAACACCATCATCTCATCCTCTACGTCCTGCATTGTGCCGTCAAAGTTGTCATCAGACTTGACAAACAAGACAAACTTCATTGTATCTCATCCTGTATGTACTGGAGTGACACTTGTTTGGTTAACAGTATAAAATTAAAAGCTTATAAAATTATTATTTTTTTTTTTTACTATTAACTGTTGAAAACTTGAACTCTGTATGATTTACACCTAACCTAAATAATAATAATAATAATAATAATAATAATAATAATAATAATAATAATAATAGAAGCCCCTCAAAATCGAGGATGGCCGGCCCAAGGGCCACCTAGGTGTGAATTTGTTTAAGGTATAGAAGCTATAGTTATCACAACAACCACACCCTAAATTAACGAGGTGCATGACTCAGTGTCAAGGAACAGTCCGAGAAGACCGGACAACTCGTCAACTGCACTGGTTAACCATTACCCCGGAACATGATTCGCAAATCGATTAACATCAAGGTCCCCAATTACTGCTGGGTAGACATAGGCAAATGGCATAAAGAAGCTTGCCCACAGTTTCACTCTGCCCGGGGATCGAACCCAGGTCCTCTCGCTAGAGGTGAGCATGCTGACCTTTACACCACAGCAGCTTAGACTAACTTAACCTGATATAACCTAACAAAACCTAGCCTGTCCTGATTGAACATCACTCAGCCTAACATAATGACAACAAGTGAGTGGGAGTGTTGACACTGGAGGTCACATGGAGTATGATTTTACATAGGTCATCCTATTCTACAACAGTGGGAGGAGTGAAGGGTGTAGATCGATATGAAAGTTAGCTTAATGATTCCACTTACTATACAGTATACAATACGATGTGTATATGGTATACCTGCATTGTCTATATACTTGCTGAACTGTATACCTGCATTGTTTATATACTTGCTGAACTGTATACATGCATTGTTTATATACTTGCTGAACTGTATACCTGCATTGTCTATATACATGCCGAATCAGTTGTAAACTTGATTGACAATTTAACCTCATAATTATCTTATCTATCTGTCTTTCAGGTGAACCCTCCATACTATGTGCCTATGGTAGAAGTGGTCCCTGCTCCATGGACCTCCGGATGTATATATTATATATTGATTACTTATCCCTGTCACTGAGCATAGCTGAACACGAGAGGCCTATGAAGCATGAGGCAGTAGGAGTCTTAGTGAAGAATGAGCAGCAGGGAGTCTAGTGAAGAATGAGGCAGTAGGAGTGTCTTAGTGAAGTTAATGAGGCAGTAGGAGTCTCTAGTGAAGTTAATGAGGCAGTAGGGAGTGTCTTAGTGAAGTTAATGAGGCAGTAGGAGTCTTAGTGAAGTTAATGAGGCAGTAGGAGTGTCTTAGTGAAGTTAATGAGGCAGTAGGAGTGTCTTAGTGAAGTTAATGAGGCAGTAGGAGTGTCTTAGTGAAGTTAATGAGGCAGTAGGAGTGTCTTAGTGAAGTTAATGAGGCAGTAGGAGTGTCTAGTGAAGTTAATGAGGCAGTAGGGAGTGTCTTAGTGAAGTTAATGAGGCAGTAGGAGTGTCTTAGTGAAGTTAATGAGGCAGTAGGAGTCTTAGTGAAGTTAATGAGGCAGTAGGAGTGTCTTAGTGAAGTTAATGAGGCAGTAGGGAGTCTCAGTGAAGTTAATGAGGCAGTAGGGAGTGTCTTAGTGAAGTTAATGAGGCAGTAGGAGTCCTAGTGAAGTTAATGAGGCAGTAGGGAGGTTCTTAGTGAAGCATGAGGCAGCAGGGAGTCTTAGTGAAGTTAATGAGGCAGTAGGAGTGTCTTAGTGAAGTTAATGAGGCAGTAGGAGTCTCAGTGAAGTTAATGAGGCAGTAGGAGTCTTAGTGAAGTTAATGAGGCAGTAGGAGTCTTAATGAAGTTAATGAGGCAGTAGGAGTCTTAGTGAAGAATGAGGCAGTAGGAGTCTTAATGAAGTTAATGAGGCAGTAGGAGTCTTAGTGAAGTTAATGAGGCAGTAGGAGTCTTAGTGAAGTTAATGAGGCACTAGGAGTGTCTTAGTGAAGTTAATGAGGCAGTAGGAGTCTCAGTGAAGTTAATGAGGCAGTAGGAGTCTTAGTGAAGTTAATGAGGCAGTAGGAGTCTTAGTGAAGTTAATGAGGCAGTAGGAGTCTTAATGAAGTTAATGAGGCAGTAGGAGTGTCTTAGTAAAGTTTCATTTAGTAAGTCTATAAGTTCAGGAGAACAATATGATAGTGTTGGTTATGTGTTTGTTAGTCACTGTGTCAAATCAGGCAGTGTGAAGTTGTATGAGATTTTTGCAGTTCTCAGCTGAATAACATGACCTAGCCTAACCTATACACAACATAAACAACATGAAATGAAACATTTTCACGGATATTTTACAGGAGTGCCGGACTAAGCACCCCTGGACAAAACTCCCCAGTTAAAGTACAAAGTAGGACAAAAGTCCCCATTTTTATAATACAGGTACTGTAATTATTCTTAAGGTCAGTAGACTCATACACCCTGGTGGGAATGTATACAGTATACAGGTGCTATTAATGATTCTTTTTTTACATCGTTATTAGTAAATTACCAAGATAAAAATTTACACAGCAGTACAAAATAAACAGTACTGATTACATTGGATATATTGTACTGTACTGTATAACAATATGGTGACAATGTTTAAAAAAACAACCTAACTTTACCCAACCCATTCTAACATGAAGTAACCTAACCTAGCATAAACAAAGCCCTGATATAACACACTGGATCTGTTGCCAGATATGCCATCCTGAATGAGTGCATCCACATGGTGAGTGAGGGCATTCTGAGCGCCGAGGACGTGGACACCATAATGAAGGATGGACTCGGGTTTCGCTATGCCTGGATAGGACCCTTTGAAACTGCCGCTCTCAATGCTCACGGTATAGTGAAAAATATTACGATTTCCAGGGTTTTGAGCCGCAGATTATTTTGTCATATTTCTCTTGTGCTGCTTTGTTGATTATCTCTCCTTTATATTAGAATATTTTTTTCTTATTTATCTTATATGATTTTCTCACACTGTTTGTTATATCATCATTGGGGTTTTATCCTTTGTTTAAATTACACTCGGATGTTTGACTAAAACGCTGTATTTTAGGCACATCAAAGAGTGGTTTTCTTCAGCACTTTGTCATTTCTTTGTGTAAACTTAACTTGCATCATTCTCTCCTCTCTCTCTCTCTCTCTTGGAAATTTTGTGCCCCATGACCCAGGCATTACAAAACTGGGGAAGGATTGATACTCCATTGTATTCGGAGTCCTCAATACCTCATGATGCTGCTTCATGATATACTCAGCAGTCTCTCACGAATTTGCTTAACTTATAAGATTTTCCTTTTTATGCTGTCTGGTGCCAAAGAAACAATATACAGTCATGCCGTTAACGTCCGACCGAACAACGTCTGATCGCATATACGTCCGTGCCCCCAAAAGTAACACCTGCTGACCACCACCCACCGACCCCCTGATGGAGACATGATGATCCTCCCCATACTGGTCAGATATTATGTGTTAAAGGAAAATTCATACTTAGGCTTTTAAGCATTTGCATATAGGTGAAATGTTAACCTACATCTATTGAGGATAAAATCTTTCACCTACAGAATTGACAATAACACATTGCTGTAATCAGACATATCTCTTGCCCCCAACAATTTGCAATTAGAGGTTGCAATTTCAAATTCTGTGTGGCATTACTAAAAATAGTAAAAGTTTCTGGTGCCTCTAAGATTAAGAGAAAACAGAGGACTCAGGTGTCCCTAATGTGAGAGAAAACAAGAGTCATGCTGGTGGATTAAATAAAAAACTTATAGCTTCCATGTTTTGTGGATACAGTATTAAAGTACCCTTTTCATCACTTTGTAATAAACCCTAGCCATGCCTACTGTATGTGTTTATGATATTTACTATAACATTATATATATATATTTGAGTAGGTCTAAATAATTTAAATAAATAGAAACTTAGGAGTTTGGGTCTTGGAGTAGCATCGAACCAGGTAGAATAAATCCCTGGGTTCTGTGGCACCATTTAGTGGGGTCCCCAGTGGAAAATAACCAAGGGATGACTGTGCTGCTGTTACTTGTGACACCTACCAGTTGCTTCTGGTGTTATGATGCAGGGTACCAAGTGACAACATAGGATCCCTTTGCTCTATCAAGGTATAAACAGCCCAAATTGAAAAAGAAAAACATTCAAATAAATTACTATCTTACAAAATCCTCCAATGTAGATTTATATTCACCCAGGTCATGGGTGGGAAAATTATGAGAAGAGCAGTCACTCTTAAGTAATGATAAATAAACAGGCGAGCAGGCCTTCGCGCCAACTGTCAAATCTTATCTCAAATAGATAAACAAACACCAGACCCCCCCCCTCCCCCCCGTCTTCCACCACCCTCGTGTTCAAGATAAAAGATTGGTGATTTCTTTGTTTATTTTATATAATATCTCAAAGACTAAAGTTAGGATAATATAATTGCATTGCGGAAATCATACCAAGACAGAGATTAATTTGAATATAAGCGTCATATATTTTGCTCAGATATAAAAAATGTATGACATTAATTTTTAGCTCCACAGCAGTACATTTATAAAAACTATTTCTACTGTATTTTTGGGTAGATTTACATAAATTTCTTCATTGCTTTTCATACATTTTACATGCACACACCATACTAAAAAACGTAAAAGAAATACTGTAAATGACTTTTAATTACAAAGCTGGAGTGCACGTAACACTAATTTGATTACGGTACTAAATTGTTATGTCTAGTGCCAATTACAACATGTTTATATTCAAATAAATCAGTATCTTACAGAGTCCCAGCTATGTTAATTACTATTCTCCTAGGTCATATCACTGGCATTTTAAAATGAAGAAGCTTAGTGGGATTTGTTAAATAAACACACAGACCTTCGCCTCATGCTTATCACCTCCCCCAACCCCCCTCCCTTTGGGTGGCAGACGTCAATCTCCCAAGCCAGGTTGTAGGCTTGATTTTTTATCTTATATAATATCAGACTTAGTTAGGAAGTTATAATTTGCATTAACGGAATCATTGCAGATTATTAATAATTTGAATATAAACGTCATATATTTGGCTCAAGAGATAAAATTGTTGTACATTAGTGTACAGTACTGTGGTACATTTTATAAACAAATTTTTCAACTGTATTTTTGGGTAGATTTACATAGATTTCTTGAGTGCAAAGCTGGAGTGCACAGCATGTACTAATTTGATTACGGTACCTAAAATTGTGTTGTCTAGTACCAAATTATAATAACATGTTTATGATCCAAATTAATCAGTATGTTACAAAAGAATCCAACATGTTAATTATATTCACCAGGTCATTCTGGCTTTTTTATAAGAGAAAGCTAGTCACCTAGAACTGATAAATATACACGTTAGACCTGGGCCTGTGCCTTTCATCAAACATATACTACCTCCCTCCCCCACGCCCTCTCCTCCCTCCCTCCCCCCCATCTGCCCAGCATTGCTGGAATCCTTGTAAAACAGTGAATAATTTTAATATAAACGTCATGTATTTTGCACAAGAGATAAAGAAATTAATCACCTGTATCACATTACAGTAGTGATTTAACGGTAAAAGTGTATATATGCGTATATAGTATTCCACCACAAAAGTACTCATCTAAAGTTTATGATGATCAAACAACGTCCATTTCGGTTCCGCGTCACGTTTCCAAGAACGTATCTAGGAAATTAACTGGTGCATGACTGTATATACAGGTATATATTTAATTAAATTTTTTGGCTGACACTCTTCACCAGGTGGATTACTCTTCACCAGGTGGGTTCTCATGATAGAGGTAATTAATTTGAGAGTATATTATCCTTTGACAACTTAAGTTATTTCTTCTATGGAGTTATATTAACCCAAAAGACACATTTATCATCATCGACCTCACGTCAGTCCATCAGCCCAACATTGGAAGGTTTACAGCAACAGTTGTACAGTATTGTAGGGACAGGAGGAGGATGTGTGTGTTGTGCACCACCTCCAACTTCATTCTGCCACCTCTCTTTTTTTGTAGCTGACATCTGATTATGGTTCACTCTAAACTGGCATCATTATATCAGTGAGGATTTGGCCCTGAAAACCTATTTTATAACACACACACACACACACACACACACACACACACACACACACACATACATATCTAGGAATAATAATGATAATATTTTTTGACCAGTAAAGTATATTTAAATCAGGATCACATCTTGAATACATGTACAGTATTTAGCACACTACATTGAGCACATGTACCAGGTATGTTTATATATATATACATATATATATATATATATATATATATATATATATATATATATATATATATATATATATATATATATATATATATATATATATATATATATATATATATATATATATATATATTAGTGAGTTATATAAACATCAAAAAATAAAATGATCTATGATGGGCACTGTCCACTAGTATAATATCAAGCAGTGGCATTTATCTCTACTTTCATGTACAGGGTATGTCTGTCTGTCTTTATCTGTGGTATTTTTCATTATCTAGTTATTAAGGTGAGGTTAAGTCAGTTGGTTAAATAAAATCAGGTTGGGTTAGACTAAATTAGGACTGACTAAACTAGGTTATGTTAGGTTAGACGAGATTCGACTAGGTTAGGTCAGGTTTCTTGACACATCAGTCTTGGTACATTTTCACACATTTCTCACTGAAGACAACTCTGTTACCTTTTGCTTTGATGGGTACAGGAAATCGCTTAAATTATGTGTACTGTACGTTATATGGTTTTGTGACACATACGGTATAAAGATTTTTAAACAATTACAGACGAGAGATTTTCATTTCTCACCAATACTTCAGTTCACATTTGGTGTTACGTATATATATATATGACCGGACTGAGACAATTAATCATACATTATTACATGTAAGACCTTATAGCGGGTCATAATCAATTATACACAGAGTTTTTTAATTTTTGGAACATGTTTAGACCTTTTCCACTTACCCCAAAGTTAGTGTATATGGATATTTTTCATGTGCTTGCAGTACAGGGTATAGATATTTGTGAATACCTTCTAGTGTCCAAAATTTGAAGTAAGAGGTGGGTTGTCATACACAGACAGACATAATTGGAGGACGATTTTGGGGATGAAGTATAATGTAGAGCATTAAATTATATACCTACATGATATGTTAGGGCTTAAATTAATATGAATAACAGATATACCTGTACTTTAGTAGATATTGGGAGGAGGATGGAGTGTTTAACATTGATACGAGTGAAGGATGATGTAAAGAGGGGGATAATGACATAGGGGTTATGTGAACACTGTTACTCTACTCATGTGTTATGAATGTTTATCAGGGAACAGGAATTAACTCAACATTTACAGTAGACATCAAGACTGTTATGATGTGTATGTATTTATATCATACAAGAAACTTAAAGACATCAGCTTTATATATTTGTGTACGTAATAACCCGAGGCGGTTTTGTACAACTGTTAAATAAATACAAATTATATGCTAATATGACAGTGTGCACCATAGACGATTCATGCAACGTAATACATTTTAACTTGCAGTACAGTACAGGGTCAGTATAATATATAATTAACATTGATCACAAATCCAGACTGCATGCTTTGCTAGTTTGTGAGGTGCAGCCTCTCTAAGACTGTCGGTAGCCACTATATGCACATGGAAGCCCAACAGTTTGATGTCGTCCTTCTTATAATATCTTACTGAAAACCATACACACTGAAGGCAGGTTTGATATGTCATGCAGGGAGAAAATACTTAAATAGAGTTTAAAAAAAAAGAGGAAACAAAGATTAGCCACCCCAGCTTATTTCACCTGATAATAAAACACCTTGATGCTACTTAAAGGGGCGTTAGTTTAGCATCAGTTTGGTAAATCACTCGGTGAAATAAAACAGGATGCTTAATCTTTCCATGATCCGACATTGGCAGTAAGGGTTGAAATTAGATGACATTCCAGTAGATGTTTAGGTAAGTTAGGTTGAAGAGAAGTAAGGCTAAGTAGATGAAGTTATTGTGTTGGGAGAGTTGACGGTCCTTTATATAAGTGTTGTATCAGGAGGAGAGTTATGAAGATGAGGGTCAACAAGGATAAAGGATTATATTATTGTATTGAGAGAGAGAGAGAGAGAGAGAGAGAGAGATTGATTTTGTGTGTGTGTGTGTGTCAGATACATAGAGAGAGGAGAGAATTAAAGTTGTGATAATGCAGACACTTACAACATACAGTATAAACATCACACTTCACTTAAGCCCGCCGTGCATTATCTTGATGTTTCATGTCAGAGGTATTGCTTATGCTGTGAATTTTTTTTTTTTAATATATAAATTTCTTCAATTTTGTAGACCCAAAAAGTGATTAAAGTCTGATATTTTGATTGTAGTTGAGAGAACAGTAATTGCATGACAAAACTGGAGAGACACTTGCAGGCAAAATGACATTAATGTTTTTGTTTTTCTGCTCATTTTTTCTGTTGTTTATATATACTGTATTTTAATAAGTTGCCATGAGAACCAGAGCATAAAGCATTATATACAATAAAAAATAACCGTGGTATACTGTGTCTAAAGAAAATTGTCTGATTGTTCTTTGGTGATTGTAGTCAAGTTTTAGTGTTTACAGTTCCTGGTGTTGTGTTTCTTACATAGCAGTTGTTCCTGGTGTTGTGTTGCATATAGCAGTTTATTGTTCCTGGTGTTCTTTCTTACATAGCAGTTGTTCCTAATGTTGTGTTTCTTACATAGCAGTTGTTCCTGGTGTTGTATGTTGTGTGTAACAGTTTATTGTTCCTGAAGATCCTCGCTCATGAGTCGAGCCATAACTTTAGCCGATGGCGTCCCTAACATCTTGTCCATGTCAAACACACGGTCGCCAGCAATCTCAAAGGTAGCGTAGTCCATTGTGTAGAGTGACTCGTAAGCAAGGCGGTATAAGAGTCGCTGGGACGGTACTGCTGTTGCCTGTGCTGTGGCGAGCTGACACCCGAGGCGTCTTCCCTGGCGTTCACTCTCCTGTAGGATGGTACATGAGTGAGGCAGGTGGAGGAGGTAGTCTGTGTGTTGTCATGCAGGAGAAGTGTGTAGGAAAATTCTGCCCTCAGCGTTGGTACTGAATACTTGAACAATAGAATATTTAAAGGAATATTAAGTAGAATAGTGAAAAGACATTCGGTGATGAAAGTCGAGCTATGAGTTTATACAGGTTACTGTATTGGTATTTAATAGTTGCTGACATAAGTATTGAGTTTATGTGCTTATTTATTTTTACAATGCCTTTAGCTTTACCTGAACGAGTCTTCTGCCCACACCCTGGCCGCTGTACTCCTCGGAGACGGTCATCATGGCCAGCTCAAGTATGCGATCCACTTTTTCGTAGCGGGAGAAAAAATCCACCGCCGCCTCTAACACCGAGAGCACCGTGTGTAGTGTCTTCACCTGGAGTTAGGGAGGAGTGGATGGGTGTTAGTCCATGGAGATAAATATGTAGTGAGATGTACTGGACAAAACAGGTAGAAAGGTGACAAGTGGTTAGTGTTTGTACTCATGAGGACCTGGCCATAAGTGCAATGTACTATTCTTGTGTGAGTTTCTACCTTAGTCTTTGGGCTCTTGAGGGCCTGCTCATAAGTGTTGGACTGGCCTCGGGTGAGTATTGTGGCCAGAAGGGTTCCTGCCACCTTCCCTGTGCTCGGCTCTTCCCCACGACAGACACTCCGCTCTTCACCCAGTCCCTTACAGACCCGTGGATCCACTCTTTGTTGTCTTCATATGTCATGTGGAGTCCTGTACTCTGGGGTCAGATCACAAAATCATTCAGACAAGCTGCACTGTACAGTCGCAACAAAAAATTTCGGTGCAGGGTGTGATCGACGACTTCCGAAACGATACGTATACCCTGTGATATGTCGGGAAGGTTGGTAAGTGTATCCTCATAACACCCCCCCCCCCACTAGGTGTTACCATATGGCTGACAATCAGGTGTGTTTGTTTCTTTCGTATTGTTGCTTTGTGTCGACTGAATGATGAGCGAGGTTTGGTCTCAGTGAACGTAAAACAGAGGCAATATGAAGCAGTAGAGATCTACACATGCCAGACGACATGGAAACCGAGGGAACACGAGGAGCTATTATTGCCCTTCATAACGAAGGGTTCAAGCCACAGATATTAGCCGGCCGGTTGGTGTCCACAGGAACACCGCTGCACGATGGATTCGGCGATACTCAAAACTGGTGCTACAGACTACAGGTCTCGAGAGCGCCGTTCACGCTGCACCACCCTCAGGACGACTAGGTTGAGTGGTTTATTTGGTAGCATAAATTAATGTGGCAATATTCACAAGTATCACTTCATTTATCACTTCCTCAACTTATTTATAATGGTTTGTTTCACTTGACCAGGCCATAGTAGCTGCTCAGCAGGATTACAGGGCTGCCAAAATACGGCTGGAACAACTCCTTTCCCAATACCTATTATCACTGGTCTCAAATTGTTCACACTACAGTATGCACCGATACTTTTTCTTACAGTGTACCTTACAGTAGCTATGGTTATGCTGCTTTTCAAGACTTAAATAAATCTTTTTACTGTCTACTTTAATCTCACTTGCACTGATTAAACAAACTTGACAACATTTATCAGAGTCGGACATTACCATAATTAATTTGTTGTAGTTTAAGCAGTTCCCTAATTCACTTCAGAGGTGCTCATATGACAGCCACTTCACACACCCTTACACTGGCACCTGACCTACAAGACAATCTATCTCTGAAATCACCAACCTAACCTAACTATAATCTTAACTTAACTATCCTAACCTATCCTAACCTAACCTAACCTAACTTAACTTATTAAATCAACACGAAAACAGGAAATTCATACAACAACAAAAATCAGGGAAGTGTCGAGGACTTACCACAGGCTCTCTCGGGTAGAAATGTTCCGCCATGAACGCAACCACCTCCTCCACGTCCTCTTCCTTAAGGTTCATGCAATCTAGCTTGCCGCCACCCATCCTAGAGAAACACTTATCATTAATTAATTCACTGCCGGGGATTATATGTTGATCTACTTTATTTTTTTTCGATCATATCACCTGAATAATCTCCACCCTAGCATGTTTCACCTAAAGATTAACCACCCTGATATTCTTTGGGATAAGGTTTGGTTAGGTTAGGTTAGGTTAGGTTTAAGTAATGAAAATGATCCATCTCTATTCATTATTTAGCTTTAGTGGTTTGTGATATGATAAGAGAAGGAGCAAGAGATAAGGGACAATGAGAGAGATATATACTAAGAGACAGTGAGAGACAATGAGAGAAGGAACTACAGTAGGTATGTGAGAGAGAAAGGGGGGTAGCTGAGAGGTGCAGTGAGAGATAAAGAGATGTAGAAAGGAGAAGGTAAGAGAGGGAGGGGATAACTGAGATAGAGATGGATGTAAAGAAGGAAGATAAGAGAGGGAGAGGGATAACTGAGATAGAGATGGAGGTAAAGGAAAAAGATGAGAGGGAGGGAGAGGGGATAACTTCAAGAACATAATCACCCAGTCGTAAAAGGTCATCACCCATTATGTATTGGTAAACCGATTAAGGTGGAGTCGGTACTGTAATATAGGTTCAAGACAGACAGACAGGTGGGTAAACATTACTGTTACATATAATATAAGATATTGCTTTCAGGTACAACACTAATTTCGAGGTATATAGCTCTCAGCCAATAGGAGCATCTGAATACATATTGTAGTTCTCAGCCAATAAGAACATTTGAATACATTGCTGTCAGCCAATAGGAATATCAGAACGAAATAGGTATCAAGTACTAGTTTCCTTGTGATAGAAAACAGCTTTAGACCGAAAAGAGAGAGAGAGAGAGAGAGAGAGAGAGAGAGAGAGAGAACGGATATAAGGTACTGTTGTAGAAGAGAGAGAAAGAGAGAGAGAGAGGATATAAGGTACTGTTGTGGAAGAGGGAGATAATATAAGGTACTGTTGTGGGACAGAGAGGATATAAGGTACTGTTGTGGGAGAGAGAGGATATAAGGTACTGTTGTGGGAGAGAGAGGATATAAGGTACTGTTGTGGGAGAGAGAGAGAGAGGATATAAGGTACTGTTGTGGAAGAGGTAGATGATATAAGGTACTGTTGTGGGAGAGAGAGAGAGAGAGAGAGAGAGAGAGGATAAGGTACTGTTGTGGGGGAGAGAGAGAGAGGGAGGATATAAGGTACTGTTGTGGAAGAGAGAGAGAGAGAGGGATGATATAAGGTACTGTTGTGGAAGAGAGAGAGAGGATATAAGGTACTGTTGTGGAAGAAAGAGAGAGGAAGATATAAGGTACTGTTGTGAAGAGAGAGAGAGGATATAAGGTACTGTTAGAAGAGAGAGAGGAGGATATAAGGTACTGTTGTGGAAGAGAGAGAGGATATAAGGTACTGTTGTGGGAAGAAAGAGAGAGGGAAGATATAAGGTACTGTTGTGGAAGAGAGAGAGAGGATATAAGGTACTGTTGTGGAAGAGAGAGAGAGGATATAAGGTACTGTTGTGGAAGAGAGAGAGGGAGGATATAAGGTACTGTTGTGGAAGAGAGAGAGGATATAAGGTACTGTTGTGGAAGAGAGAGAGAGGGAGGATATAAGGTACTGTTGTGGAAGAGAGAGAGGATATAAGGTACTGTTGTGGGAAGAGAGAGAGAGAGAGGATATAAGGTACTGTGAAGAGAGAGAGAGAGGAGGATATAAGGTACTGCTGTATAAGAGAGAGAGAGAACGGATAAGGTACTGTTGTAGAAGAGAGAAAGGAGGATATAAGGTACTGTTGTGGAAGAGAGAGGGAGGAATATAAGGTACTGTTGTAGAAGAGAGAGAGAGAGAGAGGATATAAGGTACTGTTGTGGAAGAGAGAGAGAGGATATAAGGTACTGTTGTGGAAGAAAGAGAGAGGGAAGATATAAGGTACTGTTGTGGAAGAGAGAGAGAGGATATAAGGTACTGTTGTGGAAGAGAGAGAGAGGATATAAAGTTACTGGGAAGAGAGAGAGGAGGATATAAGTTAATGTTGTAGAAGAGAGAGAGGATATAAGGTACTGTTGTGGAAGAGAGAGAGGAGGATATAAGAATGTTGTAGAAGAGAGAGAGGATATAAGGTACTGTTGTGGAAGAGAGAGAGAGAGAGAGAGAACGGATAAGGTACTGTTGTGGAAGAGAGATAGAGGGAGGGATATAGGTACGTTGTGGAAAGAGAGAGAGGAGGATATAAGGAACTGTTGTGAAGAGAGAGAGAGGATATAAGGTACTGTTGTGGAAGAAAGAGAGAGGAAGATATAAGGTACTGTTGTGAAGAGAGAGAGAGGATATAAGGTACTGTTGTGGAAGAGAGAGAGAGGATATAAGGTACTGTTGTGGAAGAGAGAGAGGGAGGATATAAGGTACTGTTGTGGAAGGAGAGAGGATATAAGGTACGTTGTGGAAGAGAGAGAGAGGAGGATATAAGGTATCTGTGGAAGAGAGAGAGAGGATATAAGGTACTGTTGTGGAAGAGAGAGAGAGAGAGAGGATAAGGTACTGTGTAAGAGAGAGAGAGGAGGATATAAGGTACTGTTGTGGAAGAGAGAGAGAGAGGGAGGATATAAGGTACTGTTGTATAAGAGAGAGAGAGAAGGATATAAGGTACTGTTGTAGAAGAGAGAGAAAGGGAGGATATAAGGTACTGTTGTGGAAGAGAGAGAGGGAGGATATAAGGTACTGTTGTAGAAGAGAGAGAGGATGGTAAGGTACTGTTGTGGAAGAGAGAGAGGAGGATATAAGGTACTGCTGTGGAAGAGAGAGGAGGATATAAGCATGTTGTAGAAGAGAGAGAGGAAAGGTACTGTTGTGGAAGAGAGAGAGAGAGAGAGAACGGATATAAGGTACTGTTGTGGAAGAGAGATAGAGGGAGGATATAAGGTACTGTTGTGGAGGAAGAGAGAGAGAGAGAGGATATAAGGCACTGTTGTGGAAAGAGAGAGAGGGAGGATATAAGGTAATTGTAGAAGAGAGAGAGAGAGAGAGAGAACGATATAAGGTACTGTTGTGAAGAGAGAGAGAGGGAGGATATAAGGTACTGCTGTGGAAGAGAGAGGATATAAGGTACTGTTGAATAAGAGAGAGAGAGAACGGATATAAGGTACTGTTGTGGAAGAGAGAGAGAGAGAACGGATATAAGGTACTGTTGTAGAAGAGAGAGAGAGAGAGAGGATATAAGGTACTGTTGTGGAAGAGAGAGAGAAACGGATATAAGGTACTATTGTGGAAGAGAGAGAGAGGAGGATATAAGGTACTGTTGTGAAGAAGAGAGAGAGAGAGAGAACGATATAAGGTAGTACTGTTGTGGGAAGAGAGAGAGAGGGAGGATATAATACTGTTGTGGAAGAGAGAGAGGGAGGATATAAGGCACTGTTGTAGAAGAGAGAGAGAGGAGGATATAAGGTAATTGTAGGAAGAGAGAGAGAGGTAGGATATAAGGTACTGTTGTGGAAGAGAGAGAGAGAGAGGATATAAGGTACTGTTGTGGAAGAGAGAGAGAGAGAGGATATAAGGTACTGCTGGGAGAGAGAGAGAGAGGAGGATATAAGGTACTGTTGTGGAAGAGAGAGAGAGGATATAAGGTACTGTTGTGGGAGAGAGAGAGAGAGAGAGAGGAGGATATAAGGTACTGTTGTGAGAGAGAGAGAGGAGGATATAAGGTACTGTTGTGAGAGAGAGAGAGAGAGAGGATATAAGGTAATGTTGTAGAAGAGAGAGAGAGAGAGAGAGGATATAAGGTGCTGTTGTGGAAGATAGAGAGAGAGAGAACGGATATAAGGTACTGTTGTGGAAGAGAGAGAGCGGGAGAGAACGGATATAAGAAACTGTTGTAAAGAGAGAGAGAGAGAGAGAGGAGGATATAAGGTACAAGCTGTGGGAGAGAGAGAGGATAGGAAGTACAGTACTGTTGTGGGAGAGAGAGAGGGTATAAGGTACTGTTGTGGGAGAGAGAGAGAGGATATAAGGTACAGTACTGTTAGAGAGAGAGAGAGAGAGAGAGGATATAAGGTACTGTTGTGGAAGAGAGAGAGAGAGAGAGAGAGAGGATATAAGGTACTGTTGTGGAAGAGAGAGAGAGGGAAGATATAAGGTACTGTTGTAGAAGAGAGAGAGAGAGAGAACGGATATAAGGTACTGCTGTAAGAGAGAGAGAGAGGGAGGATATAAGGTACTGTTGTGGAAGAGAGGGATATAAGGTACTGTTGAATAAGAGAGAGAGAGAGAGAACAGATATAAGGTAACTGTTGTGGAAGAGAGAGAGAGGGAGGATATAAGGTACTGTTGTAGAAGAGAGAGAGAGAGAGAGGATATAAGGTACTGTTGTGGAAGAGAGAGAGAGAGAACGGATATAAGGTACTGTTGTGGGAAGAGAGAGAGGGAGGATTTAAGGTACTGTTGTGGGAAGAGAGAGAGAGAGAGAGAGAGAGAGAGAGAGAGAGAGAGAGAGAGAGAGAGAACGGATATAAGGTACTGTTGTGGAAGAGAGAGAGAGGGAGGATATAAGGTACTGTTGTGGCAGAGAGAGAGGGAGGATATAAGGCACTGTTGTAGAAGAGAGAGAGAGGGAGGATATAAGGTACTGTTGTGGAAGAGAGAGAGAGGTAGGATATAAGGTACTGTTGTGGAAGAGAGAGAGAGAGGATATAAGGTACTGCTGTGGAAGAGAGAGAGAGAGGATATAAGGTAATGTTGTAGAAGAGAGAGAGAGGATATAAGGTACTGTTGTGGGAGAGAGAGAACGGATATAAGGTAATGTTGTAGAAGAGAGAGAGAGAGAACGGATATAAGGTACTGCTGTAGAAGAGAGAGAGAGGGAGGATATAAGGTACTGTTGTGGAAGAGCGAGAGAGAGAACGGATATAAGGTACTGTTGTAGAAGAGAGAGAGAGAGAGATAGAACTGGATATAAGGTGCTGTGTAGAAGAG